TTCCTGTTCTGTACTATAGTGGTGATTATAGAGCAATGGCGGGATAATTAGTGGATCTAAGAGAAACTGTTTTTAAAAAGCCATATCATGCATGACATATTTTTCCTTAAAAAATGACAAATAAGGTTTTAAGATGTTGTTGGTCCTGTGACAAACAAAAGGCTGAGTTTCTTAACATGCGGTACTTATGTATTCAGTGTAGTACTTCCTGAAAAATGGCAGCTGAGACTATAGCTAGATTTATTAAATATCCATTTACCATTAGATCCTTAAGCTTGAGAAAGTACATATTGTTCCTGAAAAACTGTTTTGCTATTTTAGCATATCTTCTGGCTCTGTGAAGGATTCAGGAGAGATCCTCTCTATGCCATGAAAGCATCACTCAGAGATAAGATCATGCTATGAGTTGCTGCAGTCACCACCCACTAATCCTGTAGTCCTTTTGCTTACTATGCTCTTTAATCCTATTTTCCTTATTCACCTCAATTTCTCACTTCCTCCCGTCATTTTCAATGCTAGTACCTGACCTGGGTCAAAACACAGTGTGCTATTTACCATCCTAGTCTCTTCCTTGTGGTGGCTTCTCTTCCCTCCCCTCCTCTAAACGCCAGTTACCAAGTGAGTGTGTACATCAATAATATAACATGTAGCTTGGTCCTTGCTCCCATGTGCTGCCACAATCTACCTTACTATGTTCCCAAATTCATTGCTGGACTTCCATTAGTTTAACCTCTTCTCTTCGCATTCTCCTTGGTTCAAATGGTAATTTCTTGCCCTCATCACTTTGCTGGAACCACAGATTTAGAGCAAAACTAATGGCAGCAGATCTACAGGTTTGAAGAACTTTCTGGAACTTCCAGGAATAATTTTCTGACATTAAGAACCGTTCGACAGTGGAACAGACTCCCTTGGGAGGTTGTGGACTCTCCTTCCCTGGAGATTTTTAAGCAGAGGTTGGATGGCCATTTGCCATGGATGCTTTAGTTGAGATTCCTTCCTTTGCAGGGGATTGGACTAGATGACCCTCAGGGTCCCTGCTACTTCTATAATTCTATGAGCCTGCGCCTGCCCTAATGGTGTGGACCAAGGATAGCAAAAGTTGCGCCGTCTTGATGCTGTTGGACTCCAGCTCCCATAATCCCTGGGTATTAGTCATGCTGGTTGAGGCTAATTAGAACTGTACGCAAACAACATCTGGAGGGCATCACGTTGTCTACCCCTGGTGTCGACAATGAGAAGGGGAGAGTGCAATTTTAGCAGCAAAAGGGATAAGTTGGTAAAGGGATCCAGGCTCTTGCCATATTTTTTTCCATTCAGTATATCCTCATTGTTGTCTTCCCAATTTGCCCCAACTTGAAATTGTCCTGCTGTTTCAAAATTTAGCTTTATATTACCAGTTGGGGAAGAGGTTCCATCCAAGGTTTTAGAGGACCTTCAGTCCCTAGGACACAAATACCGCTACTTTCAGTATGGGGCGACTGAAGCTGCAAGTAAGCAACTTGCTGAAGGTCACCCAAACTCAATCACAATCAAATGGAAATTTGACCTCACATTTCCAATATTCACTGCGTCATATTATGTTGCCTTGCACTTTAGCCTCTTAATGGCTCTGTGAGTGGAGGAAAAGCACCACTAGACAATTGCTTCTAATGGCAGACAAGAGCAGGCACTGAAATGAAATAACTTCAGCAGTATTGAACAGGCATTCGCATAACTCATTTGAACAGCACTGAACATGATACCTCAGAACACAAGAGCCCTGCTAGAGCACCTGACTTCCAGCAGCAGCAAGATACACAGAGCAACAAATCTACCCAGCCTGGGTTAAGGTGTACTGATCCCTATGTAGGTCAAGTTACTTCAGCACTGACCCCACAGGTGCTTCTCCGCCTCTCTGGTAGTGTGAATGCAATAATTAATTGAATATCCAACAATTTTGCTATCCTTTCATGACATCCAAAACCTGAGGGCACCACTTCACTCTGCCTTAATGGTAGGGCTGCCATTTTTAATGTAGCATTCATACCCTGGTGGCTTCAGGTGCAAAGAGCTCACTGCAGCATCGATAGTTCATCAAAACAATCACATTGATTCAGTGTGAGTTCGATGAACTAATATGGGAAAGCTGTTTAAATCCAAAACCAAAAAAACCCCAGCCTGCATGAAAGCATAGCTGTGAGCTCTACAACCAAAAGAAATTGCCCTTAGTGGGTTGCAGGCACTGGTATTGATCAAAGCAAATGTATTCTCTTCAAGGCAATGCCCTTGTACAACATTTATGATGGTTCAATAAGGGAGGTGGACACACAGAGTATCGACTGTTGGTTTCCCAGCTGGCTCCCCTTCTCAAATATCTTCCTGTTGCCGTTATTTCAGTATCCTTAAGTTGAAATGCTTTCACAAATAGAAGTAAGAATCTTTGAGCTTGTGACAAGTTGTGTTTGGGGTGAAAGGACACAACTTTGTTAAAATCAAAGAGCTTCAGAGGAAAGAGCTAGGAAGATACTGCAGCCAATGCTATTGGTGAAGTGTGCCAAGAAAGCACTCACCTGGGTGATACTACCTGGTCACATTCACACTGTACATTTAAAGCGTGTGGCTGCCCTCAAAGAATCCTGAGAACTACAGGTTGTTGATTTTTTAAAATGGTGCTGGGAATTGTTGCTGTGTGGTGGGTAAAGTATGGTTCCCCAGATCTGGGGGGGGGGGCATGGTAGAGAAACATTCACACACGCATACCCTGCTGTCTAGTACTGAGAGGGATGGTCCCATCAGCACCTGAAGTATATCCATTTCCACTTCTGTACTTTTTTGGAGCCAGAAACTATCATAGAATTCAGAGAAGTGCAAAATCTGAAGGACAACAATGTTTCAATTTGCACGTTGGTCTGGGAGGTGAGGATCAGGCCAATTCACGGAAACCCTCAAGCACCTCAGCCACCACTTGATGCCAACTGAATATTGTTTTCACCTATATTGTACTCAGCTATGTGATCACACCCTAAACTACTGTTCCCCTTCAGCAGAGTGGCCTGCCCAATGTCTGTTGTTGTTGGCAGCCATCTTATCTCGAGAGACAATGGAATGCCCAAGGTCACACAACAGATAATTGTGTTGCAAAACTTGTCAGAACTTGATTACCATCCAGCATCCAATATGAGAAGTATATGTGTGTTTCTCTCTCCCTTATGCCTGCTTTGTATTAGTGCTGTTTTCATTTTGTTCATTTTGGTGTGCACTGAGATGTACAAAAGCAGTCTAAAAATCCTAAAAACCATCCATCCATGCACTACAGTACATGATGGGCTGAAGGGATCGGACACAAACAGTGAGGATTGAGACGGCTACATCTACCTCCCTGAAGCTTAGCCCTGGCACAGGGATGTGTGCTAAGTCCCTACCTGTACTCATTGCACACATATGACTGCATATCATCTGATCCATCCACAGTAATTATTAAGTTTGCAGATGATACTACCATAATGGGCCTAATTGCAGGCGGAGATGAAACAGCTTACAGGGGGAAGGTTCAAAAAGTATCTACATGGTGCTTAGAGAATAACTTGCACCTAAATATTAGTAAGACAAAGGAGATGGTGTTGGACTTCCAGAGGAAGAGAGGGGAACCTGCCCCATTGTATATCGGGGGGAGGGGCTGTGTGGAGAGAGTCTCCTCCTTTAAATTCCTGGGAGTTTACCTTAGTGAGGACCTCACTTGGAAAATCAACATAACTCAGGTGGTCAGAAAGGCCCAACAGAGACTCAATTTCCTCAGGGTCTTGCGAAAGAATAATGTTAAACAACAACTGATGAACTCCTTTAACCGGTCCACAATAGAAAGTGTCCTTTCATATTGTATCACAGTGTGGTATGCTGGCCTGACAGCCACAGACAGAAAGTCTCTACAGAGGGTAGTGACTACAGCACATGATATCATGGGCTGTCCCTGGATGACATCGCAAGGGATAGTTGCCTTAGGAGAGCGAGAAAAATTCTCAGAGATGACTCACGCCCTGGCCATCACCTCTTTAATCTTCTACCCTTGGGCAGGAGATATAGAAGTATAATCAGCCGTACAAACCAGCTAAAATATAGCTTCTATCCATGGGCTGTTAGGCTGTTGAACGGAAAATAACACAGCGAAATTGACTTGCAAGGTGGTGTATTGTTCGATAAGAGATTGAGTGTTTGGGAGGGGAGGCTCACTTAATTTCATTGTACACAGGTTGTACAATGACAATAAAGGTATTATTATTATTATTATTATTATTATTATTATTATTATTAATGCACCCTACATTTGTTGACCTGGGACCTGCTTTTTCACTACCTGAAGTGAAAAGAAATAAAGCAGGGAAATGATGCAAGAATCACCCTGCCAACAGGTAAGCCTGCATTTTCCTCCTTGTGATACTCTTTTCAAACCTCCTTTGTTACTTCCCATTTAATGACATTTGAGATGTTGAAACCATGCAACTTTCTGGAAGCAAACCAAAAGCATTGGGGCGGGCCACTTAATCTTAGCTGGAGATTCAGACTAGACTACAATGTGTCACTGATTAAATGACAGTTAAGAGCTTGAGCATACAAACAGAGGCATAAACAGTCTGTATGCGAAGCTGGTACCTTTCTCATGGGGGAAAATCATGCCTATTGTGCACATAGCCCTGATAACCCATTAGGCAGACAGGATTTCCTGGGACCTTTTGTTGGCATCGGTCTATCTCAAGAGACAATGGAGTGCACCTCTTGGGGTGAAGTCAAACTGCTGCGTTACCAAAGCAGTACCAAAGTGACCTCCCCAGAGTACAAACCTGGGCAGTGTGTATGGAGGTCTTGAGCTGCCCAGACAACAAGGCGCCCCTTTCAGCCTTGCTGATGTGGTCCAAAGGAAAGCAATATGCTTGGCACCAGCTTGGCTGCAGGAGGTGCCAGAATGAGGCATACAAGGTGCTATGCAACCATCTTAGATTAAAGAAAGATGACTAAGGAAGCTGATGGGGTAACCAATAATTTCCACATTTTAATTTCCATACAATCACCAATTTAAATCATTTGCATACAATTCACATAAGCATGGCAGAGTACCAACAATAGCTTTTGAAGTTGTCCCTTTTCTGTGATGCCAAATGCACATTTTCCGGAGGTAAGAGCAGCGGGTCCTTAGGGATTTTGATGAAAACAATTGGTTGAGATCTCATTCTACATTTTTAAAAAAGCTTTGGCAATAATGGAGTGGACAGATGGAGCAATTAGTGTTGGAGTACTGGCATGATGCATGGAGCATGCAGAATAAGATGCTAGACCATTTCTCATGCCAAAAATCAATTTAATATGACACTTTTTAAAACAACCTATCACAAAAGCACCTGTGATGGTGGGGCTTGTTGTCTCTGACTATTCATATCAGCTTCAGCCCCTAAACTATGGAATAGAAAGGAAAAGTGCAGAGAGAGGAAAACAAAGTGATGTGTGGTTGCAGACAAACTTGTAAATAAGAAAAGAGAGGATTGGTAGACTAAAGTACAGAGGGGGAGCAGAGAGATAATGGGTTTCAGAAATGGAATTCAGTGGAGAAGAATGTGGGCAAAAACAGATGAGGCAGTTGAGAAACTGAGTGTACAGTATCTGGGGAAAGCAAACAAAATTCAGACCTGTGATTGTGCAGAGAAAGAAATAGTTCATGGAGAAGGGCTATAGTTTAGGGACAAAACATCTGCTTTGCATGCAGAAAGGTCTGCATGCAGAAAGGTCTCAGGTTCAATCCCCAGCATCTCCAGATAGGGCTTTAAATGTCTCCCTGCCTGAAACCCTGGACTACAATTCCCATCAGCCCCAACCAACATGACCAATGATGAGGTATGATGGAACTTGGAGCCCAGCAACATGTGGAAGGCATAGCCTCCCCACTTCTGGGATACAGAAAGAAATGACAGTGTACTATGGAGCAGAGAGAAAGAAAGAAAAGGAGGGGAAATGATCAGAAAGTGGAGTTCGGTATTAGTGAAAAGTGAGAAAGCACTGCGTAGCACAGAAATGAAATAGAGAATGAATTGAAAAGATGACAATGAGTTAACACTGTAATCAAAATACTTTTCTATGGTTCACATAACAATGTAGCTCACTTGAGTTAGCAGAACTACAGAAGTGGCCCTCAAAGTGATGTGTAGCTGTGATCTAAACAATATGCCTTTCCTGCTATGAATGAAATATTTATTTATATAGCCATGGGTTTTCCACCCCATGCAAGTTTATGTCTATAATATAGGAGAGTTGATCACTGTAAGCCTTCAAAAATAATAGTGTGAGCTAAACAGGCGTGCTTATCGTTAACATGATGCATAGAAGACTGTCAGCCTATGGTTTAATTAGAAACAGCTGCTCCGATGAACAAAGGTGTCACTAACAGATGTCTTTATAAATTGTAAGCCACTGAAGCAGATCCTGTGGGCCTCAAATGCTCCTGGCAAATTAGTAAACTGTTTACTTACCTGCTTTTTAATTTTATCAAGCCAATTTCATGGAACTGGTTTTAATTGCTAATTGCATCTTTCTATTTAGGATTATGTAATACATTGAGGAGTCTCTTCAATTTGGCTTTGAGCATGCACTTTTAACTCTTGCTCATGTTGGTGCCTTGAGTGAAGCACTGTTGGTTTTTGCTGCAATTTGAATTGCCACAACTAACTTTAATAGTATATATAGTGAAGTTATCGTGCCTTCTCAACATCTGCCTATTTTCACCCTAAGAGCTGCAGGGGAGGCCCTGCTCAGGGTCAGTGAGCATGGCCCATTTGGCAGTGACATTGAACAAGACCTTCTCTGTGGTGGCACCCCAACTGTGGAACTCTCTCCTGCTAGAGTTGCATTTGTGCCCCCCTCCCTGATTCTGCCAACAGCTATTCCAGGCCTTTGGAGTAGAGTGAATGAAACTGATCATTTGTAATCCCTTGTCTGATGTACTGTGAATTCTGTCTTTTAAATCATTTTACTGATTTTACTTTGTATAATGTACTTAAGGTTTTGATTTGGTTTATATTCTTTGCCATCTTAGACCCCTGGGAAGGAAGAATGGGGCAGAAATAAATAAATAATATGTATGAGCAGATATCATTAAAATGTGTTTCCGCAGTACACGATGAAGACACAAATGAAATGTTAGGAAGCGGGGTATTGTCTGTTCAGAAAGAACCATGTGTTTAACGCAAAAGTTTGCAGGTGCATAATTCAAAGAAAATATTGGGGCACAAAAAATCACTTTCTTAACAGAAGTTGTGCAAATCAAAATATACTATTGCATTTGCATTTTGGGCATGTAAGATGGTCTGTATGAATAACAGGTTGTTGTTGTTTTTTTAAAGCAGTATTAGCTCATTTAATTAAAAGTTAACATTCCTGCAAATATAAGACAATACATACTTGTAAAACAGAGGGGGAAGGTTGTCACTGGATCAGGGCCTGCAGTGTACATGAATGGTGACAATCATGATTTCATTTTCCTGGATACTTGTCCAGGTTGGCCCCTGAGCATCAATAGCTTTCACAGCAGCAATAGAACAACTTTCAAAGTGCTCCTTGGGTTCTTCGAGTTGGATTCTTCCAGTCCAGCTTAAAGACGAGAGACTCCTTTTGTTTCTGTGGGGCTGTCTAGACAGTTTTGCTGGTGTGTTCTGAAAGATGCAGTTTTCTGCTATGGAAACAAAACAGAAACCACTATTAAAAACAGACCCTCTCTCTTTTGAATAGATTTGTCTTTGTCGTACTTGAATCTCACTCTTCCTCCATGGAGCTCAGGATTGCATACATAGGGCAATCATATTTTATTTGCACAATAACTCTGTGACTAATAACCTTAGAAGCAAGAAATAATGTTACCCCAGCCAGAGAATTGCACTATCAGTTTCCTACCCAGGAACACGTTAACTACTACAGCTGTAGCTCTACACATGCTTCATAAGTATAAGCTTTAAAAAAAGAAAAGACAAGAACACTGAGTTAACAATCCAGTTCTGTGATGAAGCACAGAAGGTGATTAATACTAGCCTAAAATAATGCACGAAGAAGATGACAAAGATATCTTGGCACGGGGCCAAATCAAATGTGATGTGGGACATCCACAATTAGGATCTTTCAGCTCCTGTTTTGCTTACAGTGACTTTGAAGATCAGCTCTGGGAAAGTTTCACCCTTTCTTCCTATGTGTTTTCTCTAGTGCAAATTGCTTTCCCCTCCCAAGCTATTATTAGCTCCAAAAGGAGGCTAAAGACAGGAAACTATTAGCAACTCCATCAGAAAAGGGGCATGGGAAGGAAGGGTTAAACAACTTTCCTCAGAGCACTACTCTGCCAACCTCCAAAACAGCACAATAACAAAAATGCAGGAGAGTCTATTAGTGAATTTCTGACCTCACATCTGACTTGTCACTAATTTAGCCAAATCAACAGCTGTCTGCCATAAGCACAAACAGATTCATCAACAGATAGTAGCTGAAGTAGGAAAATGCCCTCTTGCATTCTGCTGGGGACAGAGGATCAATAATGCCCAAGGTTAGAGTGCTAGGAAGGCTTGCACTTCAACAGCTAAAACAACCATGAAGCTTCACTCCATTTGCCTGTATAAAATCCCCACTCATTTGTCAGAGCAATGCTGATACAAATGTTGTGCACAGCCTTGCCTCTTTCTCTATCCTATTTGCCCCAAGTCAGTCTCTTGGATGCCAAAGCTGCTCCATGAAAGGGGCTTGCAGGTCTTCTTTTTGGAGTAGCTGAGTAAGATTGTCTTCCATGAACACAGTCTTAACAGTGAATCTGTAAGTGACTGTGGGGGACATAGGTTTCCAGGCAAGAGTTAATCATGGTGAGGGTTTGCCAAACATGCCTTCCTCTTAGCACATTTCTCCCTTTTGTCCTGAGTTCGAGCGTCTTTAAAGTCCATGACATCTTTGGTAAAGGCTGTTCTCCAATTGGAGCGCTCACAGGCCAGTGTTTCCCAATTGTCGGTGCTTACATTTTTTAAGATTTGCCTTCAGAGAGCCTTTAAACCTCTTTTGTTGACCACCAGCATTACGCTTTCCATTTATAAGTTCAGAATAGAGTAGTTGCTTTGGAATACGATAATCAGACATCCAAACAACATGCCCAGTCCAACGAAGTTGATGTTGAAGAATCATTGCTTTGACAATTATCCTTGCAGGTACTGCTGCTACAGTGCCATGGCTTCAGCTCCTCCCCCAGCAGATGGAGTAGGCAGCGGCGTAGCGTGGGTTGTCAGCACCCGGGGCAAGGCAAGTAATTTGCGCCCCCTAACCCATGGATTGGGACGCGGGTGGCGCTGTGGGTAAAAGCCTCAGCGCCTAGGGCTTGCCGATCGAAAGGTCGGCGGTTCGAATCCCCGCGGCGGGGTGCGCTCCCGTTGCTCGGTCCCAGCGCCTGCCAACCTAGCAGTTCGAAAGCACCCCCGGGTGCAAGTAGATAAATAGGGACCGCTTACTGGCGGGAAGGTAAACGGCGTTTCCGTGTGCTGCGCTGGCTCGCCAGATGCAGCTTGTCACGCTGGCCACGTGACCCGGAAGTGTCTGTGGACAGCGCTGGCTCCCGGCCTATAGAGTGAGATGAGCGCACAACCCTAAAGTCTGGCAAGACTGGCCCGAACGGGCAGGGGTACCTTTACCTTTTTTTAACCCATGGATTTGCGCCCCCTAACCTGTGGATTTGCGCCCCCTAACCCATGGATTTATCCTAACCCCAGATGTTGCGCCCGGTGCGGCCGGCACCCCCTGCACCCCCCACGCTACGCCACTGGGAGTAGGGCAGCCTTGCAGTGGTGGAACAAAGATTTCATTTGCACAGGGACTAGTCAGTGCAAGAACAAGGTTTCCTGTTACACCAGCTTAGTGCTTGATGTAGTGCTTTGTAACTACTGTATAACTACATCGAATCAGGTTTCAGTCCCATTGTTGAATCAGTGCTAGCTCTCACACAGTTGGCTACATTACTTTCTGTCATGCTGTGCATCAAAGGACGTAGCAATACAGGTGTGCATCAATGGCACAGCAGAAAGATCTGATCAAGCCACATTTCAAATATGTACTAATAAAACATATCAACAGGCACAAAGTGCAAACAGAAGGAAACAGCCAGCTTCTTCATGAGCAGCAGAAGACTGTAAAGTGGCATCGGGGGGGGGGGGGGAGGACAGCTACACTTCTATAATATATGCTTGAGAAGACTTGCTTTTGAAACTCCAAGGGCTCTGATTTTAAAAACAATATTAAACTGCATGGTTTTTCTTTCTTTCTAGGCTACCAAGTTAAGTACCATAGAAAGCATATGTTATATATGCATTCCTCCTTGGCCATGGATTGATCTGTTGCCATTCAAACTCTGCATTAAGCAAAAACCATAGAAATTTATGGTAGCTGCTTTCCAGCCCTCTTTTTTTATCTGCACTGAATTAGCCATCAGATCGTTTTCCTCATCTTAAATACACACTTAAGGAGGAGCGTGGACATGGAAGAAAGAAGTATATCTACATAAACTCTAAGTTCTGCTCTAAGACCCAGAAAAACAGCTTGGAGAAAAAGCCCCTGCTATTAATAATTTTATTATCTTCATTTTGACCCTGCCCTCCCATGTTCATCAATATACCAAGGCTTTCTATTGTTTCACTGGTAACATAAGAGGAAAAATGACTGTTACTCATATTTAATCTAAGCACAAACACAAGGGCTTCTGATCACAAGGTGTTTAGCGCTGCAATGTTGAACGTTATCTGTTAACTCTGTTCTACCCTGTTTCCCCTTTGTTTTTTTGTTTAAACCAATTCACAAACCAAGAACTTACACACTGAACCATATGTTGCAGATATTACACATGACAAGAAGACATGGTCTATTTATTTGTATCATTTATTATGATCCTTGTTTATAAAACCCAATAAAAAGTTATTTTTAAAAATGCACCCTGAAACTCACAAACAAGATTGTAAAGCCAACCAAAGGAATGCAGTATATTTCATTTGTTGACTAAAGCATGCTTCTTTTATCAGCATTTTTAGTTCAAATCCTCATTGATCAGTCAGCAACATTGTGCTGCCTCCCTTTCAATAATCCACAGACAAGTGCACTACAAAAATAATTTTCTTCTGTCCAGATGAATCAGTGTTTATTCTCAATGGCTAAATCCTTCTGTCTCAGCTGAATTATGTGCTCTATGACGCAGACAACTTGGCCTTTCACCTGAAATGTTACTACTGCAATACAACATACTATCTCCCCATCTCTCTGAGGAAGAACCAATCCACACTCATTATTCAGGAAGTAGAACAATGCTAAGCTACTTAGCCCAAACTTAATTTCCTGTCTTACCCAGGAGTCCATGTGCCAGAATATTTGCTTTCATGAAAATGTTTCATTGACTGTTTCCACAATGAGTTTTAATGCTTTCAATTGTCAGTTGTGAAATTCATTAGCATCGCATAAGGGTGGGAAGGGCAACCCGTGGCTTTCAGCCTAATTTCATGGGGTAAGGGGCAGGGCCGGCCCACCCATGAGGCAAGTTGAGGCGATTGCCTCGGGGGACAGGATCCAGAGGCAGAAGATCCTAAAAGGGATCTTTATTTCCCCTTTGTTCCTGATGTAGATCTTCCCTCACCCCTTCTTCCCTGGCAGGGAGCAGAGTACCATTTTGTGGTTTGCCTCAAGCATCAAAATGTCTTGGACTAGCCACAGGTAGCTCAGAATAAGAAAACGAGGATTTGGGGAGAACCTCTGGCAAGTGATCGGTTCAGACCTCTAAGAAGAGTGATTTGTCCTACTCCCAGCAGTCGCTAGAGAGAGAAGGGGGGTGACAGAAAGAGACTTCACCTTCCTCTCCTCTCACTGTGCACCTTCAAAAGATGCTGGGGGGAGACATGTCTGGAGGGTGCACAGGGGTCTGGAGAGGAGGAATGGGGAAAGTTCCCTTGTGCAAATGGAAGTCTACTGCACTGGTGGAACATGAGTACTGGGTATAACCCAACGTTAACTAATCCCTGCATTTCACAAAAGCTAATATTTGACCTGAATGGGCCTGCTCAATGAAAGTCACAAAGACAGCAAGGACTCTTACGGACTAAATAATACAGCAGCAAAGTAGGCATACAAATGAACAATCTTGCAAGTTCCATGACTGCACAAGAGGGTAGCGGGAACACACCCTCCGCCATTGTACAGGTGAAGGGGTTTGTTTGAACACACCTATACTGCCTTTCAAATAGCAAATAATTCTTATCGATCCTGAATTCAAAAGCAAACATTCCCTCATCTACAAAGAAGAGACTGGGGGCTGTAACTGGAAGAAGAGTGTACCTGTTTGCTTGCAGAACTGGTCCGTACATGTCCTGTTCCACACACCTTTCTTTAACATAAAGAACTTCCTCTAGTTTCTCGAGCTGAAAAACAAAAAGGACATCTTTCTCAGTCAACCTGAAATGAAGGAGGCATCTTTCAGTTACAGGATCTAATGAGGATGCTCTGCTGGTATGGTCTGAAGGTACATGAAGCCATCACCTTGCTGAAGTTAGGTGAGTCTGATCAATATCTGGATAGGTGACTGCCTTGGGTCCAATGATAGGGGGAAAAGGGGCTCTAACTCTAAGAAAATAAATAAAGGATGCTCCAGCGACATAGTTAGCAAGAGCAGGCAGTGCAGTGGGGAGGTGTCTTACCAGGGCAAGGCAGCAGCTAGAACAAGGCTGTGTGTGCACACTGGTGGGAGCATCCATTGGTGTGCTTGCACAGCCCCAACCTTGCACACTGCCCTGCCCTGCATCATCCCAGTAAGTGACGGTGATTACTGTGTTAGGTGGGTAGCTCTGCAGCACTGCCCCAACTACTCCTGGTAGTTACACTTGACGGGATGAATTAGCATAATTTCTTTCCAGATCTGATCTCTGAGCTTCTGACAAAGCAAGGTTTAGGAAGGCAATGGCTGCATAAGCTGAAATTGGGTTTGCCGCTTGGTTCTTAACTTGCTCTATTGTCACAATTAAAATGCATCTTGTACTATTCTAGTAAGTTGGCAACCCTAATAAGCAGAGGCACCAAAGTCAATTTGTGTATTTGGCCTTTTAACACTTACTGCGCAGAGTGTCAGCTGTTCCTCAAAGCCTCAGATTTATCACTTAAAAAGGCCAAGTAGAAAGTTTCAACAGCTTTACTGTTTCTAATTAAGCAGATATGGGACATTCAAAGCATGACTGACTAGTTCCAAAGGAAATGAACAGATATCCAGTTATGATAAAGCAACTTGATCATCAGCTAACCTTATTATTAAGAGAGAGAGAGAGATAAGAACAGGTATCAACAAATTTAAGTTAACACACTTAAGAGTATAATAATCATTTTTAACAAGCTGGAAAACTTCAAATTCACAAATATATATTTCAAATCAACCTAATTAAGGTTGTCATAGTTACCAAATGTGCCACTTAGTGATTTTCCCCCAGGTCATTCTTTTAAGGGAGAAAACAGGAAATAAACGAGTTTATCTGATTCTGAAGTTCCTTTAATAATTAGACCAATATGTGTGCTGCTGTATCTGTACCCACAAGCAATTGTTGCTCAAAGACAGACATAAAAGCTTATTCCTTTTCCAGTCCATTGACGGCTATTCTTAAATTGGTCATTAATGTATTTAGCAAGTCATCTTTTATGGTGTTTTCTGATGGTAGATAAAGTTCCACAAAATCAACTGTTTTACCATAGTTATGACGACATATGAGGCAGAAAGGGGGTGCTTCCAGACGGGAGGTTTTGTCATGGCCCCACTGAATGAAACCTCTTTGGAGGATCTGGAGAAGCAGCCTACATCACAGGACCATGAAGCAGAGGAGAGGAAGGGACCTTGGGGGTCATCTAGTCCAACTCCTTGCATTGCAGGAACCTCAACACATGCCCCCCTCCCATACAATTTGAAACCATCCTGGATCATGCTTGGCTTTGCAAATGTGCTAGCAGTTTTATTGCTGCACCACTAGTTGACAGTATATATGCTGCTAGAGCTTTAATGAAACACCACAACTGCCCCCCCCCCATTTCTAAAGATTGAAATAATAACTAGAATAGTAGCTGGAGACTGATGATGGGTTTAGTTCCAATTTCGGAGGATAATCAATAGAGTTCCCTTTAATTCACAGAACAAAAAGTTTTCATCTGGAATTGAATTAAATTGAGTAGGTCTGTTGCCTAAGGATGAGACAACTAGGACTAAGAATCTCTTAATTAGCAGGCCGATATGCTTGCCATCTCTGGAGAATGTCCCATTAGGAACCTTTTAACAAAAAAGGGAGCAAAGAAGGCAGCTTGCTGTTTCTGTCAGGCTCAACTTTGCCTTTCAAAAAATATATATATATATAAAGTATTAGGTGTTTTTGCTAATTAAAATAAAATAAGAGAGCTGACGGAATTCTCTATAATATGATTGCACCTCAAAGATCTTTCAACACCTCTCTGTTGGGATCAGGAAATCTTTCACATTAGAAAGAATTTCTCTGCGGCTCCTGCAGCATGGCTTATAATACTCTGCAAGAAGGTGAACAGGACGTCTCTTTTTAAAGAAATGTTGGCTCCTGTCATTTATGAACATTTTCAATATGAGTTTTGATATGTTTGTTTGGTCTTATTTTCTGTATATCAGCAGTAATGAAGGAATAGAAATAGGTGATGATTAGCCCGAACCAGATCTTGCAGATATCAATGGGAGCATTTAGTCTGCAGCTGAAGCCAGACCAGGCAGTTGTGGTTATGGGCTAGGGAGCTGCATGCTTTGTATAGTGTGGGGATGCCCATGATTAAGGTGGCTACCATGCATTTGGTAATCAGATTCGACATCTGAATGTAGTCCTGGACCCAGGGCACTAACAGTGTGAGATTATGGCCACACTTTGAACTCAAGGATCTGTCAACTATCATCCATGTTCCCCTAACTGCCAGGATGAACTACACTATCAGAGAACACTGACACCAGAAAACGCATCAGATAAGTCTTCTGATATTGTATTTAAAGACAGGAAGACACTGTGGCGATCAGTTTATAGGTCAGGCCATAGCTCTCAAATGGTGATAAGGTCTTCTTCCCCAACATGATGGAGGCAAGATCTAGGAGAACTGCTAAGTCCTCCCAGTCCAGGTGTGCATCTTTTCCAACAAGCTATGCAACAGTCCATTCCCTTCCTTTCCTAATGAGCACAAAATGAAGCCCTGTGATTGGCTTGCTCCTTTTCACTGTTGTACTGAGTGACTGTTCTATTGCCCAATGGACTACTTGTTCTCCTGCTACATACTGTCTGAATATTTTTTTGCCTCTAGAACTTCAAGAAGGAATAAACGTTGCCTGAGCCATCTGAATTTGGAAGACTCGGAGAGCTTAGTGTTGATTTAGAGAGAGGCTAAAATTTGAGACTGCTTGATATCAGAACAATTTAAAAATCCAGGTGGTGAGGAACCTTGGAACTACTAAGGAAACATCTGAATGTTCTCTGCTGAATGAAGAGCTCTTACCTGCTGACTGTAAGCTTAAACTGAGGCCTCTATCCAGTTTGCTTTGTGGCTTCGTGCTGATAAACAAGTAACAAAGAACGCACACAGTGATGATAAAAGCCAGCAGGACCACTGCTGCAATTGACAAGCCAATAAGTGCTCCAACACTGAGAAAAGAAAGCAACAAAATTTAATGTGCTGGACATTCTAGGAGCATTGTCAAGCACACCACAACAAGAAATTATCAGCATCACACGTACATAAGGAAGGAAGACAGATGTTTTGACAGAATAGAGATAAACTGATTTTCCTTTAATATTCTCATGGGAGCTGAATTCGTCATGAAATTCTACTCTTATTGATCCAGAGCAGAACTCCAACGTATAGTTAGCAGAGTAAAAACTTAAACACGTTGCAGGATTCCCAAAAAATAGACCAGAGGCAATTGTATTTCATCCAGCAGAGCTTTACTGCTACCGAAGGCAAATGAGCATAATGGTCACAAATCCAATACAATCAGGATTGGCGCTGTCCATAAGAAATCCAGTTGCAGCAGACTTAACTTAAACTTACAATAACTTATATTAAGACTAAACCTTAACACTATATACAGAACACCACACCAGAAGGAAAAGAGAAAGAAAGAGAAACTGAAACCCAGGCTCCTTCTGGCCTTACTTTTATAGTCAGCATGACCTTGACAGAAAAGAGATCCAGTTTAAACCAGCTGTACTCAGCTTCTCTGAAGGAATAACCCAAACATCATGAACCTTCTGCTTGTTTCTTTCACACAGAGAAGCTTCCAGAACCCTCTTGAATTAAGTAGAATAGGAAAGATTTTTACACATCAGATCAATACTTTCTGTACAAAGAAAATGCAAACTGATACTCCCCCCATTTATTAAGTACAGGAAGTATTGATATGCAAAACGCCTATAGAAAAACATTGCATGTACACCTTCCTTCTACAAGAATAAATCCTAGCCTTTTGTTGCTAGACCTGCAATTTACAGCAAACACATTCCTTCACTATTCCTGGGGAGATAAACATAGACTCAGAGAGAGAGAAGGGGACTGAAGCTATCTAGTCCAACTTTCTGCTGCAGGAAGGACAATATGCCTGTCAGCCACACCCACCCACTGTGATATTCAGTTCTAAATGGACTAAAACAGAAGTGGTGTGCTGAAGCAAATGTTTTGCCACAGGCCCCCATTGTAGATTCCATGTTGCTGGTCTGGTCTTCGCATGCAACAGAAACAGGTGTAGAGTCCCAAAGTATGGACTGTACCACTTCAGACCACATGTGGAGGATCATTCTTTTGAATGATCCTTTGTATAAAATTATTACTTTTTAATATGAAAAAAGTGAAATTCCGCAGTGTAGAGTCCCAAAGTATGGACTGTACCACTTCAGACCACATGTGGAGGATCATTCTTTTGAATGATCCTTTGTATAAAATTATTACTTTTTAATATGAAAAAAGTGAAATTCCGCAGGTTTCTTTTTAACTCCTACACAGGAATTTAATTCCTACACAGCCTTTGCTGTAGAAATTTTGTATTCTGTGAGGTGGACTTCTCTCACATGAAATGTAGTAGCACCATCTGCCTGCATAGATTAGTACCTAAATTCAGTCACTGATGATTGATATTCTTGTTTTGAGATGGCATCTGTTACTTCTGAGGAAGAAACTGGCAGAGGAGAGAGTGTAATGAGGAACTTTAAGTGTTATGTTGCTATTCCAACCATAGTTGACATCCCTTCCCTAATGACGCCATCAGCATTGAAAGTGCTGCTGTTTTTGACTAGTCATGGCAATATAATAGCTGTTCTTGTCGGTAGCTATTTGGTCTGCCTACTTTTCTGAAATAACTCAACATGGTGTCAGAAGTCTAAGCCTTAAAACTCACAATTGCTTACTATGACAGTTTTAAGCTCCAGAAAGCTTCAACTTTGATGATACATGTGCAAGGCTATGCCTCCTGTGAGCCACTTATTTGGCCACAGTGCTTAGTGATGTATGCATGTACGGTAGGTGTCACTGAACACATGAGGGGGGGGCAGGATCCCACCCACAATATGTCATTTGCAAATACTCTTTTACTCAATATCCAGGTGATCACAGTTGATATCCTTAAAAATATAAACTTATTCAGTACTTTGGTTTCTCTTCAGATTGGATAAATCTTTTTATCTTTTACTCATACAAACTTAGCAGTAACATAGAACTTTTTTAAGAAGTGTTCAAAGTGTTTTCTGTGTATTAGTACAGGCTTGTTGTAAACCTCTCACAGGGTTAGTGGCCTGTAGCAATGATTAACCACCTCCAGGTAACCAGGCAGGGAAACCTCTACAATAGTTTGTTCCTCTTTTGAGCACAAGTAAATACAGTAATATATTGGAGGACTAGACAACGGATTCCGCCTCCCCCTGCCCCCTCAGCTTGTTAACTCAGGTGGACTTTTCCAAGGCTGCACAAATCCTTGCCACACTATCCATATTGCAAATGTGACATGGAGGCTACAAGCTTATACCTACTTATCTGGGAGTAAGCCTCACTGAATTCAGTGGGATTTACTTCCAAGCGGAAATGCATAGGATTGCACTGTGAATATAACATGACTTGCCTAAAACCACCTGGATTAAGTTTGAACCAAATCAGATTCTTGTTAAGAAAACTCTTTCGCCAATTATTGATGATGAGTTATTTCTACAAAGAGACAAATCTTTCATTTGGATTAATTAGACTAGGCTAGTAGCTACCATTCTCCTGTTCTGTACCACTAATATTAATTAGAGTTAATGAAAAGGCATGCATTGGAGTCTCAGAGAACCCATCCTTTTGTCACCCTGGTTGTTGCCAGTAATAGATATACAATGATTCAAAGGACAAGAGGGGAAATTACGGTATTATATGTTAAGTCGTCTCTTGAGTATACCTCTTTGTCTCGCTGCAAAGTGACGATCCTCTCACACTGCTGCTGCTACAAGGTTGCTGAAACAGGGGTAAAAAATCCCCTCCTAAAATAATACGAGCTCTAAGCAATCGGTTCAGATTGCAGAAAGTTCCCATATTTGGTTACATTACCAGTTTGCACATTCACACCCCTGCCACATACATTCCCTCTCTGCTAGTGGCTCAACTTAACTTAGTGCCAAAGCTTAGCCTGGTGCTAAGGCTACACTGAAACGGGCACAGAATCATTATACAACCTCTGAGCGTGTGCAGAGCGCATTCCACTAATTCCACACACACACTCACACCAAAGGGTCTTGGCACTGTGGTGGACTGGGCGGACAGCCCCCCAGCCTGCCTCCTGGTCTCACCTGAGCCACCACATGTAGTTGTGCTCGTAGGGGAAGAAGCTGTTCGGGTCATCGCAACAATACTTGAGGTCCTGGAAGCCGCAACAGTAGATGGAGCCGGGCTCGCCGTCGTCCCCCGGGCAGCTGAAGGCGCTGACCAGCATCTTGTCGGCGTTCATGTAACTCGTGCAGTCGGCGCTCATGGTGCAGCCGAGCGAGCGGAGTCTGCGGCGAGGCAGCTCAGCTTCTTCTTTCAGAAGCGGCGGGGAATTGGAATCGAAGGCGCCGCAGAGCAAGGAACCGCGCGCCGGAGGCAGAGCGGGTAAAAGGAAGAAAGGCAGCCAGGCAGGCGCAACCCCGAGGGCGCAGGAGGAGCCGGCTCGCCTTTCCTGCCACTTCTGAGGCGCCACAGGCGCGCCCCCCTCCACCTCCGCCGACGGACTCTCTGCTGTCGCCAAGGCGGAGGGTTTCTTTCTCCCTCTCCCGCCACTCCCGTGCTCGCCCTGTGCGACGCCCCGCCTCCCTCGCCCTGCTGAGCCTTCTGGCCATTGCTAACGCAGCAGCGATCCTGTGAAGGGAAGCGAAAGGGATGGATCACGCAGCCTCGGCGCAGCGTCGAGGGGATTTCAAGACAAACCATTTCAGGCGTTATTCCAGACCCCTTTTCTTGTCCGGAGGGTCCCATTCATGGGTACGAATATATCCACATCAGCGCCCAACTGTGTTTGAGGAGCCAGGTCTGGCAGGCTGCAGCAGCCTGTAAAATTGCCGTCGTCTGAAAAACTGGCCCAACCAACGCAGTTAAAACGGTGAGGTGACAGACCACGGTCTTTGGACACCTGGTTTCCAGTTCTGACATTTGATCAGCAAAAGACGCCCCGGAATCAACCACCCTGGCATCACACGGATAGTTTTGGATTGATCCAAGAATGGAAGAGGCAGGGTAAGAAGGAGATCAGGGTAGCTAAGAACCAGCTCTGAACTGTGGAGGTGGCACCTGGTGCTAGGTGACAAAAGTGCACGCACTTCAGTCTAGACTCAGGATAAGTTTAGGCCCTACCATTAGGCAAAGTGAGGCAACCGCCTCTGGTGGCAGATTCGGGGTCACAGATTCCCCTCTACCAGAGGAGAGAGCTAGGTATGCACCCCCTAACCTAGCCTCCTTCTCTTGGGTGCCATGGAGGGTGCCATCCTAGTGCCAGTACTGCAAGTCACATTTCACTGCTGATTTTGTTGACTTCCATATATGGAGCATCAGGCACCACCTTGCCTCTCTTTCAAAGCGACTGAAGTCAGGGCGGGGGGGGGGCGACGACCAGAGAGAGCCCCATCCCACCTCCAACCCCAGTTCCCACCCGTCAGCCCTCCCTTCCCGGTTTCTACATCCACCTGCCAACCCAAGTCTGATCCCAACAGTGCTGCAGGCCTTGTGACAAACAGCATAAATAAAGAAGTGAGGGTGGCACTGTGATCTAAACCACTGAGCCTAGGGCTTGCCGATCGGAAGGTTGGCGGTTCGAATCCCCGTGACGGGGTGAGCTCCCATTGTTCAGTCCCAGCTCCTGTCCACCTAGCAGTTTGAAAGCACGTCAAAGTGCAAGTAGATAAATAGGTACCGCTCTGGAGGGAAGGTAAACGGCGTTTCCGTGCGCTGCTCTGGTTTCACTGGAAGTGGCTTAGTCATTCTGGCCACATGACCCGGAAAAACTGTCTGTGGACAAACGTTGGCTCCCTCGGCCAGTAAAGTGAGATGAGTGTCGCAACCCCAGAATCATTCACGACTGGACTTAACTGTCACTGGTCCTTTACCTATGCCCTGCCCTTAAAACAAACATTGGCTCGTTCTAAAATCTTGCACCCCATAACCAGAATGAACTTCAGCCTTGTAATTACAAAATGCACTTTAAGTATCCTTAGTGTTACAAAATGCACACTGTAAGTCTAAATAGTGTTCTAGGACATTGTCACATTGGGGCTTTAGTTCTTGGTATAAGGGCTAAGACAGCGGTTAACCAAACTGTGAAGTACAATGGTACCTCAGTTTACGAACTTAATCTGTTCTGGAAGTCCGTTCTTAAACAGAAACCATTCTTAAACTGAGGCGCGCTTTCCCTAATGAGGCCTCCCGCCGCCGGTGCCCTTCCACTGTTCAGACTCCGTTCTTAGACCAAGGTAAAGTTCTCAAACCAGGACACTACTTCCGGTTTTGTGGAGTTCATAAACCAAATAGTTTGTAAACAGGGCTGTTCTTAAACCGAGGTACCACTGTAAAGCTCTACAGCGCTAAAGTCAGGTGGGCCAAAAATACTGAGGGTAAGGAAGGAATTTGCCCTAAATCACACACCCACACCCATTTATCCAGGGGACTGTTTGTTTACTCAGCTAAATCTCAAAGTCATATTATCTCAGTTTTACTTTAGGGCAATAGCAGTGAACTTTGGTGCTACACAGGCTGAAAGTCACCCTACAACTGGAGCACAGAGCTTTAGCACTATCAGGAAATTGCTATGCAGTAAGGCTACAACTTTTGCAAAGGTTATGTTCAGGGCATTGTGCTCAAAGTCAAAACCCAAAAGTAAAAACAACAACAAGCAAAGTCAAAATTGTGTCAAAACCCATTGGCTTCTATAAAGCACATAAGTTAAATGTGTACAAGTTACAGGCTTACTATATTGCTCTGAGGTTGTACCTAATTAAGCAGTATGTTCCCAGTTCACTTCTATAATGCTCAACATCAGGGTGACATTAAGAATAAAAAGGAAAAAAAAACAAAGAACACATCCATGCCAGCACACACACGGATGCAAAATTGTAGGATATAATCTTCAAACAGAAATGCTAAACTAATGCAGAAAATTAGGCATCACTGACAACTGTTAGCACCATCAAGTGGAACTATGGAAGCCTGGGAAATGTTTACATCATGCAACAGAACGCTCAGTCCCAGTGCCAGACTTTCACTGGTGCTATTTAAAAGAACACAGAGGTTCTAAACTGTTCTAACTGTTAGAGAGAAACGAGTGACGTAGCTACAAAAAGGAAAGTAGCAGATCCAGGAGCTGAATCATCCAGAATGGTAAGTGAACAACAAGAGGAAGTGAGATATTAAACTGGGCTAATATTGTTAAAGGTTTAAAAAATAAGTCAGTCGCTAGTAACAAAAAGCGGGGGGCAATTTCTTGTTGCAACACAACATAGGACCCCAACCCCTTTTTCTCTTTCACATTAAAGAGCAGGTATTCACCTGTCTCGAGGATAGCAAAAACCTCTTCTGCCTGCAATTCATTTTGGAAATAGGACCATGAACACATACCTTTAACTAGGCAACAGTGTTGGGGCTAACCAGTAGGGCCACAAAACAGGACCCCTCATGGATAGGGTAGCAGTTTCTGTATATTGGAGGTGGGGGCGTCTGATATAAGCAAATACTACTTTGTTACAAAAAAGGAGATAATCATATTCCCCTGCCAATCCACTACTGATATAAATCTGGTTTATTACTCTTCTCGTATACTTTTGTTTTTTTAAAAAAAACTTCTCTGCTTGTCTTGCTGTTAACGCTTAGATTTTAATGTGGCAAGGCACTTTGAGTTTATAATTATTAAAGAGAAATAGTGGTGGTGGTGATACAATTTTTAAGTTCTAATTGTTTCCACGCACAAAACAAACTTTTCTTAGCAGTCCTTTAAGAACATGTTCTCTCATGTTCTTGTTCAACTTATTTCTTTGTTATTTAGAGCATTTGTACCCCACTCTTCAGCCAAGAAGGCTCCCAGAGGGGCCTTTACGCAGTCATTTAAAGCAAGAGAGTCCCTACCCACCAGCTTGCCTGGAAGACACAGCACAAAAGGAAAGAGGAAGGGGGAGGCAAGAAAAGCAAATTCAGGTGCCAATTCTTAAAGTTCAGTTGTAGTTCTTATAACAACCAGATGGAATATAAATAATTATTTTTATCCTCATCCTCTATCCTCTTTCAGTGTTTCTCATATAACCAGCTCATAGGTGCAGTTGCACTAATATGAAAAAACTATCTAGAATTTGTGGGAAATTATTACGGTAGTTATTCTTCATGTTGTGATGGCAGATTATCCAGAAGCTTTTTGATTTTCCAAAAGGAGTGAATCAAACACACACCCCCAATGGCATCTTCCATGCTATTGCTGATCAAAAATAATAATAATTAAAATCTGTGTTAGTGGATAAAAAAGGATAATGAAATGCCTAATGATCCTTCTATTCTATTTTTTTCTTGGCTGATTCATGAATGTAATTCTCTCAATTACGCTGAAAGGACTGCCACAAAGAACAGCACTTCTGTTTTCTGTCACTGGATGGAAGTACTGAATAGTTCTTAGAAGCCAGCCAATCCATCTTCCAGGAACAAATATCACTAAGTATTAAGGCTTGACATTTTCATTATTTGTGTAACTGGTTCTTTTTAAAGGATATTTGCCACAAATGACATTTTTTAACAACATAGATCAATAGATCTCAAATAACATCTGCCTATCAACCTCCAAGGTCATCTTAAAATCATTAACAAGACCATGTAAAATTATTTCCATTTCTGTCTGCCTCATTGATTCTCCGTTCTTTTAAATATTTCATACAAAAGTATAATTTGCCCGGTTTCATGTGAGCCCCCTAATATCATTTTTTCCTCTCTTGTTGTTAACTCAGTTCTGAAAAAGAAAAAAGAAACCCTTTGCAGGCACAAGTTGTAAGATGAATTCTATAGAAATAATATATTGGGTTAAGTTAGGTTTAATGCATTTGCTGTGGGGGAATTTCAACATTAGACACAGCAGCACCATTGTCATCATAAGTTATACAGAACAATCCATCTACTTCAGGAAAAGCCACCCTGATAATAATAATAATAATAATAATAATAATAATAATGGGACAATACATTGTTTTATAAGGCATATTAGGAAAACTAGTTTTTTTCTTCATCAAATTCTGTATTTTTAAATTTTAATCATTATTTTATATACAGTCAAGGTGACCAGAGAGCTGCTAGTACAGATAAACCTCCCCCACCCCAAATGTTTATTGGCATGTAAATAAAAATCAGGCCTTCTCTTTACCAAACTATCATATTTCATATCTGAGACCCCCTGAACTATGTTTCCACCACTATATGGTGATCAGCAGTTGGCTTGGTTTTGCTTTGTGGACTGAGAATTTCAGTCTCCGGGATCAGGCTTGCACCTGTTATAACTATAACTTTCTGATTTCAAAAACCTTATGAAGTAGGGGATTAACTCTCCTGATCTCATTGGTTTTTTGTGTTAATATGTTAGAACCACTGTGACTAAATGGGCTCAAATGAGAGACAGCCACTGAGGGTGACATACCACATCAACCGAAAAGTGTACAATGAAGAAGAATTCCAACAAGATCATGACCGAAAGATTTATGCCACCTCCACCAGGGAATTAGAGACCCCTCCAACAAGGCGGAAAATCCAGTGCAGGTATTGTAAACTGGGACTCCTATCCCTTTGAAGACTACCATTGACACTTTATATTATAAGTGAGCAGCAAAAGCACTGAACCCAATAGATCCCCATTTCCTGTATATATTAGAAATGCAGTTCTCCAACCAAACAAAAATGCAAAATTAGGCGAAAATGTGTATAAGAATGAATATGTTAGTAAAATAGCATACCAAAATGCATCATATTAGAATAAATTGCTTGCAAAAATGTGTATATTAGTTAAAACTGCAGGCCAAAATGTGTTTATTAGGATAAATTACACACGATTTAAAAAATATTCATTTGGATTCACATGGCGGGCCCCCTTAAATTTCACATATACACTTATGGAGTCAGAACTGTCAGTATCATCTCAATGAAGATGTCAACCTAGTGTGTGGCAGCTGTGGAAAAAGCAAATTCCTGCTGATAATGCATTGATGGTGTGATTGTATTTCATAGAATCATAGAGTTGGAATAGACCACAAGGGCCATCGAGTCCAACCCCCTGCCAAGCAGGAAACACCATCAGAGCACTCCTGACATATGGTTGTCAAGCCTCTGCTTAAAGACCTCCAAAGAAGGAGACTCCACCACACTCCTTGGCAGCAAATTCCACTGTCGAACAGCTCTTACTGTCAGGAAGTTCTTCCTAAGGTTTAGGTGGAATCTTCTTTCTTGTAGTTTGGATCCATTGCTCCGTGTCCGCTTCTCTGGAGCAGCAGAAAACAACCTTTCTCCCTCCTCTATATGACATCCTTTTATATATTTGAACATGGCTATCATATCACCCCTTAACCTCCTCTTCTCCAGGCTAAACATGCCCAGCTCCCTTAGCCATTCCTCATAAGGCATCGTTTCCAGGCCTTTGACCATTTTGGTTGCCCTCCTCTGGACACGTTCCAGTTTGTCAGTGTCCTTCTTGAACTGTGGTGCCCAGAACTGGACACAGTACTCCAGGTGAGGTCTGACCAGAACAGAATACAGTGGCACTATTACTTCCCTTGATCTAGATGCTATACTCCTATTGATGCAGCCCAGAATTGCATTGGCTTTTTTAGCTGCCGCGTCACACTGTTGGCTCATGTCAAGTTTGTGGTCAACCAAGACTCCTAGATCCTTTTCACATGTGCTGCTCTCAAGCCAGGTGTCACCCATCTTGTATTTGTGCCTCTCATTTTTTTTTTGCCCAAGTGCAATACTTTACATTTTTCCCTGTTAAAGTTTATCTTGTTTGTTTTGGCCCAGTTCTCTAATCTGTCAAGGTCGTTTTGAAGTGTGATCCTGTCCTCTGGGGTGTTAGCCACCCCACCCCACCCACCCCAGTTTGGTGTCATCTGCAAATTTGATCAGGATGCCCTTGAGTCCATCATCCAAGTCGTTGATAAAGATGTTGAATAAGACCGGGCCCAAGACAGAACCCTGTGGCACCCCACTAGTCACTCTTCTCCAGGATGAAGAGGAACCATTGATGAGCACCCTTTGGGTTCGGTCAGTCAGCCAGTTACAAATCCACTGAGTGGTAGCATAGTCAAGACCGCATTTTACCAGCTTCTTTACAAGAATATCATGGGGCACCTTGTCAAATGCCTTGCTGAAATCAAGGTAGGCTACATCCACTGCGTTCCCTTCATCTACCAGGCTTGTAATTCTGTCAAAAAACGAGATCAGGTTAGTCTGACATGACTTATTTTTCAGAAATCCATGCTGACTATTGGTGATCACAGCATTCCTTTCTAGGCGCTCACAGACTGTTTGCTTAATGATCTGCTCCAGAATCTTCCCTGGTATTGATGTCAGACTGACTGGGCGATAATTATTTGGGTCCTCTCTTTTCCCCTTTTTGAAAATAGGGACAACATTTGCCCTCCTCCAGTCTGCCGGGACTTCGCCTGTTCTCCAGGAATTCTCAAAGATGACTGCCAGTGGTTCTGAGATCACATCTGCCAGTTCTTTTAATACTCTTGGATGCAGTTCATCTGGCCCTGGAGACTTGAATACATCTAAACTAGCCAAGTATTCTTGTACTATCTCCTTAGTTATTCTGGGCTGTGTTTCCTCTGCTGAATCATTTGCTCCAAATTCTTCAGGTCGGGCATTGTTTTCTTTATCGGAGAAGACTGAGGCAAAGAAGGCATTGAGGAGTTCAGCCCTTTCTGTGTCCCCTGTTTGCATTTCACCATCTTCTCCTCTGAGTGACCCCACTGTTTCTTTGTTCTTCCTTTTGCTACGGACATACCCGTAGCATATTTGGACTGCTGTGTATAGTTCTGGTTCCCTCACCCCTGAAAGGATACTGTAGAATTGGGAAAAGGTTCAGAAAGGGGCAACCAAAATGATCAAGGGATAGAGCAGCTCCCACCCCCACCCCCCGCCATGAGGATATATTAAGTTTGAGGATTTTTAGTTTAGAGAAATGGCAAATAGGAGGAGACATGACTGAGGTGCATAACATTATGCATTGTGTGGGGAAGTGGAAGAAGAAAGGTTTTTCATAACACTAGAACTTATTGACATCCCAAGAAGCTGGGTGTTGGCAGATTCAAGGCAAACAAAATAAAGTACAGTGGTACCTTGGGTTACATACGCTTCAGATTACAGACGCTTCAGGTTACAGACTCCGCTAACCCAGAAATATTACCTTGGGTTAAGAACTTTGCTTCAGAATGAGAACAGAAATCGTGCAGCGGTGGCATGGCAGCAGCAGGAGGCCCCATTAGCTAAAGTGGTGCTTCAGGTTAAGAACAGTTTCAGGTTAAGAACAGACCTCCAGAACGAATTAAGTTATTAACCCGAGGTACCACTGTACTTATTCACACAGTGTATTGTTAAACTATGGAATTCACTCCCATAAAAGGCAGTGATGGCCACCGACTTGGATGGCTTTAAAAGAGGGTTAGGCAAATTCATAGGGGATATGGCTATTGGGGCAACTAACCATGAATACCAGTTGCTGCAAATCAGAGGAGAGGGCTCTTGTGCTTGGGTCCTGCTCGTTGGTTTCCTACAGGCATCAGTTGGCCACTGTGAGAACAGGATGCTGAGCTAGATGAGCCAATGGCCTGATCCAGCGGCTTCTTCTTTTGTTCTTACGACATTTATGTGTTCAGAATTTCTGTCTCCTGGAATGAAACCCTCACATTTTTATTTATTTTTTATTTTGCAAACATGGATGTAAAATTGATATTAAGCTGAACACATTTTAAAGGGCATCAGGTATATTGGCATTTGTCACCAAACATAAATGAAAGCACAGGGCTGAGAAGTATTAATCCACAAAGGTGTCGCTCTAGTTAGTGGAGAAAGTAATCCAATTGATGAGTTGCAAAGCTTTTTCTTAGAAACAGCACAGTTCAATTTGTTTCAGATTCTCGTGGGTACTCTTCCGGAAGTTCATTCTCAACGTGTTTCCCTTTCTAAACTGGCTTTGTTCATATCGTGTCACTGAATGGATTTTAGGAGACATACACGCTGGCATAAATGTAGGGATGGTGCAGATTTTTCAAGGTAAACAAGCTGTCTTTATTATTTATTTTAAGTTCTCTCCCCTTTCCCTTAGGAAATACTTAAGAGTTTCCACCCTTGGATAACACAAGCTTAAAAAGTATTAGGGCTGGGGTGGTGAAACTGGGGTTCCCCAAATGTTGCTAGACTCCAGCTCCTATCTGCCCCAGGCAACACAGCCAATGGTCAGGGGGTGATGGGAGCTTGGTCCAAAAACATCTGGAAGATTGCAGGTTCTCCATCCCTGCCCTGGAGTCCCCCTTATGCAGGGCTGGTCTGCCCATGAGGCATGGGGAATCGGTCACCACAAGGTGGCAGGCTCCAGACAGCTGAGAGGGGCACTGCTGGTGCCAGCATGTGGTTGTTGTAACCACCACACACCCTCTTCCCACCCATGCACCTGCCACACACTACCTGCTCCTCTCCAGCTTTCTTTGAATACCTGGGCAGAGGAGGAGGGGCATTTTCAGTTTTGCCTGGAGCAGCGAAACATCCTGGGCCAGCCCTGCCCTTACCTTACTCCAGAGGAGTAGTCCTCTGTTTGGCAGACCAGAAAATATGGGAGCTAGAGAATCTTCTCCTTCACCGCTCCTTGACTCCTAGGTGATAAGGGGAGTCATTAAACGTTGTGCTACTTTTAATTTTATTTGTGTACGGCTGACCGAGAAAGCCAAACCGAGAGGAAAGGCAGATCAATGCCATAAGCACACCCAACATGTATTTAAAGCACCTGACTTCCCTTCAAAGAATTTTGCAAACTGTGGTTTCCCCATCAAACACCTACAATTCCCAATGCCCTTAAGAAATCACAGTCCCCAGGCTTTTTGGGGCATGTGCTTTTAATGTGCATTAGCTGTGCTTTAAAAGTATGGTGAAAGAGAGGCCAAAGAGACTCAGGAGGGAGAAGAAGTGGGCTTTGAAGGCCAAAAGAAGACCTTACTTTAATTGCCCAACTAGGAAGCCTGCCAGGGAAGTTTTTTTATTCACTTATAGAGGGCATGGCTGCACTTACATTGGAACCACAGCATACACGGAGGGAAGGTTCCTTAATTCAAATTAGAATCACCCCTTGCACTGAAATTAGCCTTAAGCAAAAACTCCTATTGTAAAGCACTTTGTGCACAGAAAAGTGCTATAAGAGTAATTTATCGCTTATACTATGCTTGGCTTGCTTCCAATACTTAATGAACTGTCTGCTTTGACACAATCCGTCTGATACGTCTGATACATTATTTGTAAAACACATTCTTCCAGGGCTATCAGGAATAGTGATAACCGGACTACCGCTACCAGTTATCAATAGTTTTTATTCTGCATTTTGCTGCTCTCTAGCATATGTCATATTTGGAACTTCACGTCATATGTCCATTGGTGAGTACTGTTCTGCCTGGCTATTTCAGTCTTCTAGGGAATGTACTGTTTGCCAACAGAGATTGTAAACTTTGTTTTTATTAATCTAGGGGTCATATCCATGTGGGTAGGAGGTTCTTTGCTTCAGCAGAGGCTTCCATTAGTAGAAGGAGGGAGGAGAATTTTGCTGATGGCCCCTCCTCTCTGAAGCCCCTCCGCTCCCAAATTTGCTCCAAAGAATTAGCTGACCCTTTAGCACAGTGTGGGAGGCGGTGTGGGGGATTGTAGTGGGACAGGAAATTATCTCCCTCCCCATTTTGTTGATAGAAATCTCTGTTGAATCACAAGGGCCTTTAATCTGCATGAGTAATACCATTAGATATTACCCTATGTCTTCTGACATATCATCTTCTGTTTCATTTTGATTTATTGGTAATAAATATTTCACTCACAAGTCACCAAGCCCCTTAAATATCAGCTGTCTTGTTTTTACTGAAGTGTTGTTTGATCTCTTTTCTGCTAAAATCTGTAACACGTGAAAAGGTTTGCAGAGATATTCAAAACAGTTTAATAATGTGTCAAAATGGATTAGTCTCTTCTTCTTCAAGATTCATTAATTATAATTTTCTCTATACATGCCATTACCATATGGAAATGTATTCATATCTGTGTCCTCACCTGTTTGTGGGGAGTGATGCATGTCCTCTTCTTTGACAATGTGTAATGGGCCACCCCGTGTAGAGTGGGCTAGTGGATGATGCAGACTGAGGCCTAGGAAAGCTCTGCTTAAACTGCCTGGCATGGCAGAGGAGAGTAGAAAGTATGTTGGAAGGAGAACCCCATTACCACCTTCTCTCTGAACCTGGAAGAATAACACCAGCTCCAGGTTTACTGAGGCCCTTGAGCAAGCTGGTCTTGGCAGGCTTTCTTCCTGACTGGGCCCACTTCCTCTTTACAGCTGCCACCAATTCTCATTCACTCGCCCTCTCCCTTTGGGCCCCGTTGCAACGCAGCCAGGTGAATGGAGAACATTGTTCCTTGCTCCTCCTGCCAATGTCCACTTGCTTAGGGGAGAATGAGCAACAGAGGCAGGGCCAAGGGGTGCCAGTGGGGCATATTCTGGGACGTAGCCTTCTGCAGGTGCCCAACAATGCCAACCCTGGACAGCAGCCCTGTAGAACCAGGAAGGGGAACTTCTGGCCTATGAGCTGAATACAGCCCTCTGGGCCTCTCTAACCAGCCTTCAGGATTCTTCCCTAGGCCAGACCACTCACCGGCCCTGTTCTGTATACTCTCAATTTTTGCCTGGCTGGCATATGTCCTACAACTCTGATGATGCCTCTTCCTTGCCTACACAGACAGGTATATGTGTGTGAAACTTCCAGCTGTTGAAGGGTTGTAATGTGGCTTACTGTACAAAGTTAAGAGTAGCTGTCCCTGCCCAACATAGGTGCGTGGCCCCTGGAAGGCTGCCCATAAGGGAATGTGGTCCCTGGGCTGAAAAGTGTTTCCCCTTCCTGCTGTAATGGAGCAAGGTTATAGCTCCGACCACTTGGCAGCCCAGGTCAGTCATATACCCTAAATGCAGACTGGCTGTCCTTATACCTTCTGTGCAGGCCAGAACAGTGGGAGTCCAACTGAAATGGGCCAACAATTTTGAGGGCACCTACTCAAATCCCCCCATAGAGGCAAAGGGGATTGAAATGGGGCCTACATTTCACATCTGGTCTGGGCCTGTTACCAGCTTTGCACAGCCCTGCTACTGTGAAACCTATCGATGGACATTTTACGCCTTGAGCTCCCTGGTGGAAAAGTGGGATATAAATTTAATTTCAAAAGTGGTTGTTGGAATTGCTTTGTTTTTAGCTTTGGGTTTTCTCCTTCTGTTGGTAACAGGTTCTTTCAGCATTTTGAATGCAATGGTGGCAAATTTTCAGAACACCCTTAATCTTAACTTAAGAATGCCATTTAACGGAACTGTGGCCAACTTCTCAGATGCAGCGTTTATGGTCAGTTATATGGAAGTATTAACATACACTGCATCTACGACATTTTTGGTTGGGATTATACAGGTAGGAAACACACTTGGTTATTGGTTATCATTTCTGAAATGTTACATTTTTCTGCAGAAAGCTTTCCATTCCTTAAAACTTGTTTGTGAAATTAACGATTGACATAGCATATGGCTTCAATACCAATACACTGGGCAGTTTCAATGTTGTAAGTAACTTCCCCCAAATAACCATATTTCCCTTCCCATGTTCCATACATACACTTTATATTGGATGAGAAGAGGCTATGCATGCCTAGGTCTGTCCTTGCTACCAGGAAGGGTGCCACAATTGAGATTCCAGATCCCACATAGAGTTGTATGAATATAGAACACATTCTCACACTCCCCTCCCTGTGAGGAGGATATGGACAAGACAAGCAAGTATGATCCCTCTTCACTCTTGATCAAATAGGTGGGAAACATGAGAACAGGGCTTATGGTCAGAAAATATACTAACATTAGCTGAGTATTAGATTATATAGATATCCTGTGCAGATACTTTAAATAGGTGAACATTTTCCAGTGCCTTCGTGCTTCTCCTTAGAACTTAAACCAGGGATCAGCAACTTGGTGCCTGCAGAAGCACATGCACCCACAGAAGCCCTTCTCTGGCATTTACAGGGTCTTTGGTCCCCCACCATGCTGAAATTATATTGATTCCAACTGTTCTTCTCATTTGCAAATGTGCCTACTTTAGGGTTGGACGTTAAGAGCAGGGTGGGGTGTGAGTGAGATTTAGAAGTATAAGTGGGGGGGGGGCAATGGTATCCATGGTTAGATAGAAAGAGGTTGCTGAAAAGTGTGGGGGATGGCAACAATAGATTTACTTCAGGCAACTGAAAGGGTGGACTAATTTGGAGACTCCCCAGAACAGTCTCTTCCTGCATTCCTTGCAGAATGGACAGCTGGAAAAATGCCTGCCTGCCTCTAACTCTAAGCAAGTAATATGGCAAGCTTTTATAAGTAGACTTGGCACTGTAGAAAGTTGGGGTCTACAACTGGGCCTTAAAGGTACCATTTTCTTCCTTTGCCTCTCTTCCTTTTAGCTGTTATTGTGCTGCATTGGCTTGGGTTTTGTCACAACATATCTTTCAGAAAGTCTCATCAATGCTTACCTCACTGCAGCAGCGCTACATGTTATTATCTCCCAGTTCTCCTTCATTTTTGGGATTGTAATTGACTTCCATTCAGGACCCTTGGCATTTTTTTACGTGAGTAAATCCAGCCTTTACTCAAAGCTAATCCCGTTTCTTGGCAGGGGACAGGGAGATCAGTTTAACAAGTTGCAAGCAGAAAGTTGTAAGCCACTAGTTGAAATGTCTGTGAATTTTTTTTTTGGGGGGGGGCAAATGAATGCAGTACCAGTTCCCTCCAGAGGCTTCCCTTATGTCTCCCTCATGCGTTCGATGTAGGAATGCGGAAGGAATTGATTCACTTCCCATTTAAAGGTAAATCTACCTACCGTATTTTTTGCTCTATAAGACTCACTTTTTCCCTCCTAAAAAGTAAGGGGAAATGTGTGTGCGTCTTATGGAGCGAATGCAGGCTGCGCAGCTATCCCAGAAGCCAGAACAGCAAGAGGGATTGTTGCTTTCACTGCGCAGCGATCCCTCTTGCTGTTCTGGCTTCTGGGATTCAGAATATTTTTTTTCTTGTTTTCCTCCTCCAAAAACTAGGTGCGTCTTATGGTCTGGTGTGTCTTATAGAGCGAAAAATACAGTGATTTGCCATGTTATGACCTGTACAGACTTACACAATTTTGCTAGAGTGTTTGAACATTCCAAGTGCATTTACTTGAGTAGAAATGTATTGACTGAGGACTATGATTTTGCATCTGATGTAAAGTCTGGATGCACACAGGGGCTGTACGCACAGTCTAATGACACGGCATAAATGGGAATTAGGTACAGATAGGATCCCACTTTTTATTTTTTAACTTAGGTCAGCCATGTTTCTTTTGGACAATTCCATCTGAAAGTGTTAGAGCACCACCAAGTCCCATTGCTCCCAGGGTGGACAGAAGTTGTGCATGATAGCTGCTCCAGGTTGTGGGCAGATGGATAACCTTCCTTGAGCCTTTAAAAACAGGATTTTAATAAATCCCGAAGCAATGGATTCAACTTGCAGAAAAGAAGTTTCTTACTAGACATTAGGAATAACTTTCTGGCAATAAGAGCTGTTCAGCAGTGGAACGGACTACCTTGGAAAGTGGTGCACTCTCCTTCATTGGAGGTTTTTAAGCAGTGATTGGATGGCCATCTGTCAGCGATTCTTTAGTTGTGATTCCTGCATAGCTGGGGGTTGGACTAAATTAGGGTCATTCCAACTGTACAATTATTTGATGGTGTGTTTTTTTATGAGAGAGAGAGAGAGAGAGAGAGAGAGAGAGAGAGAGAGAGAGAGAAACAGTTTGGTAACTCTTAGACTGCCCTGTAAAGGGATCAGCAGCACTGCAGATTCTGAAGTGGACACATGATCCAATCTGGAATATAACCCACCTAGATCAAATCATTTGAGTCTGCTTTTGAATCTGAGTTCTGCAAATTTCTTCCCCATCCCTGGTTGTGGGACACATGAATGATGAATACAGATTCCTTCTGTTGTAATATACAGAAATGTATAGCAATGTTGTGAAGAAAGCATACTTGCCTGCAATTGCTATATTTTGTGTGCGCATGTTAGTGATTTTCCATACTACTGAATTTGATTTCCATGCTACTGAATTAATTAACCCTTATAAAAATTCCTCCTGCTGAGTATTTTCTTTTCCCCTCAGAACTTGGTATATTATTGCATGGGCCTCCCAAAAGCTAATTCCACCAGTATACTGCTCTTCTTGCTATCTGTACTAATGTTGAGAGTCAGCAAATGCATTAAGATAACTTACAAACATAGTCCCGTTGAGTTTCCTATGGAGCTTCTTTTGGTAGGTACCTTACGTTCTTTGAATAAGAAATATGTTATGCTTCACAGACAGTCATTTCCTCACTAGATGGAAAATAACCTGAGTGGTGTTTTAAGCATAGAACCTGTACAAGGAACAATATCCATGAACCTTTGTATTATCTTTAGGCTTTGGTATAGAGAAGAGAGGTTCACCAAGTAAATTCACCTTCTCTAAGGCTGAAATCCTAGGCACCCTTATGGAGTAATTCAAACTACCAGATCTGCTGGCTGGGAGGGGTCAGGATGAGCAGGAAGACACACACCTCTGGTGGAAATAGGTCCACACCAACAGAAAATCCACATGCTGTTAGAACCACATCCTCATACCAGTGGAAAGCATGATAGGAACAAGAGATGCCTGGGAAGAGACAGAAGAGAGATAAAAAATGGGGTGTGCTAAGGGTGCATTTAGGGAAATACATTTTGCCACTTACCCCCACCAGACCTGCCTTTGGGATGGGGCAAAACTGAAAGGGCAGGATTAATGAAATTCAACTCTACAGGAGTTGGAAGCTCCACATTACAGGAGCACTAGGGATATGGCCGTTCTCAGTTGCCAATCACAGCACAACAGGATATAAGCCCTGCATGTGCCAGCCACAACTCCAGTGACTGTCTGCATGTCATGGAGCTATGCCCAACATTACCTGGTTGTATGGGCTTTGATCTCATGAGATGGGACCTTTGATGAAAGGGGACCATGGTGAAAGAGCACAAACACAATGCACTTTCTGCAATAACACAGAACCACGGAGGAATCTCAAAGCTGAATTTCAATGGGTGAGTTCAGTGTAGGTTCAGTCGCCATGGCTGTCTGAAGCAGAGTCAATGTTAAGAGTTGGCATTAGAATTTCAGGTTAGCTTTTTAAAAATTCCTGTAACATATTGTTGGAAGCATCCTCTTTGAATATGTACACATCACCCCACAGAAGAGATTTGCATAAAATGTGGATATGCATATTTGTACGCATTGATACAGATTTAGAAATAGCCACTATAATTTAAATATAGTACATGTTGTCTTATTGAGGAAGGTTGTGAACAGGTGGCCAATATGCCTGCTCAGTTGGCTATCCAGGTACCTTCAAGGCTTCTGCTTTCCTTTCTTAAGGTTCTTTATCTCTAAAATCTGACCAGATATCTCTTCAGATAGAGGACTGTCCTCTGTAAAATGGACACACATGGCGACCCTAACAGGGAAGGTGAAATGGTATTCCTGAGAAATTTCAAACTTAATCAGAGCATGATGTAGGAATTGTAGGGATGTATTTCTAATTACTTTGTTAATATTTTGTTACCTGCTCCAAGGTGGGTAGATATTATGCATTGTACATAAAATAAAATAAAAAAATATGTTGGTTAATTTCATTTTCTTTTACAGATTATTGTGTTTACCATACTTTCCACCCACACCCATATGTACGCTGAATCAAGTATGGGAGTTTTTTCAATGGCCCCCCAGAGGTTGGTAATCTACAATGTAATATATTGCTTTATTAAGTACTCTCTGTTGGGAGAGAGACGGGGAAAATGTGTCCTTGTTAATTCTCCTCAACCTTCCAGTAGCTTTTGATACCAAACCTCTAGGACCACCTCTCTCCATATGAATCTCAAGTCCCCTGCAAGCATCATCTGAGGCTCTTCTTTGTGTGCCTCCTCTATAAGAGGTCCAGAGGGTTGCAACACAAGGGTGGGCCTTTTCGGCAGCAGCTCCCCATTTTTTGAATGCTCTCCCCAGGGAGGATGGACTGGCGCCTTCATTATACACCTTTAGACAACAGGTGAAAAGGTTCCTCTCCAACCAAGCCTTTGGCTGATTAACATGTTTGTGGAAGGGGAGAAAGCTTGTTTTTATTATGTATTTTGTGTTTTATGTATTTTATTTTATGTATTATTATTTATGTATTTTATTATGTATCGTATTTTATGCTGTCAACTGCCCTGAGAGCTGCTGATTAAGGGCAGTATACAAATTTAATTAATAAGAAATAATAATAATAATCAAGAATAAGAATAGTGGTCTCTGGTCAATGAAAATAGTTTTGTGCCCCTAGAATCAGTCATGTTCATGCACCATCGGTCATCATGAAACCTGTATTTATTGTGGTGCTCCCTCTCCAACAACACTGGGTCACCAGGCTAGTTTCTGTTAAAAGTTACTTTATGTTTTTTATTGATTTTTTTATTGCAGATTTATTTTAAAAAGCAAACAGAGAGAAAAAAACCCAAACAAAAAAATAGGAAAAACAAAAGCAAAATCATCAGCTCACCTTCACAGTGCAATAAGCATCAGTACATACATCTTAATTTACACATACAGATCAAGACAATATATGCCATTCAAATGTCTGAATAGATATCCAGATAAAGTTGATGTTTATAGAACATGTGTTCAAATGCAACAAGGGCATTAAGGTCTGTTTTATAGTAGATGGTGAGTATTTATCTCAGGCCTGAAGTACAAGTTGCTTAATGACGACAAGAGGTCATAAAATCCATTTTCGTTGTCCTTCCATTAGTCCCCATACTACAGACTATAATTTGAAAGTACACGAGCACCCGCTAATATAAAGGATTTTGCCAATACAAGATGAATACAGATGGCAACTTCAGGCCAAAAATGAAGCAATCACTGGACAAGCCCACCTCATATGCCTCTATATGACATTTCTATCATTACACCTTCATTTATTTCATGCTTAAAAGATTTGTGCCCCATGTTTTGGCAAAAGCTTCCCAGTTAGCTAACAATAAAATGATTTCATTGCAGCATTCCAGGTTTGGCTCATAATTCTCACTACAGACATCTCCACCTGGTAGTAAAGGTGTTTGTGTTTAAACAGAAATAATAAATCCTGTACCTAAATAAAGCTACAAGGCAGAGTTCTCAGGAATGTTCATTGAAAAATGAAGAAGGCACTCAGAATCTTTCTTATTTCAGATTTCTGCATCCTACATTACCTGACTTTTCAAACCTGAAAAAGATTTTATTGCACGCTTCATCCCTGGCCATAGTGAGCTATTTTCTTCTCATTTTTGTGGCAAAGAAGTATGGAAATATCCACAACTATCACATCAGACACACTCAGGTATAAATTCAATGTCATATGCCAGAAACTTTGAGAAGATTTTGTTGCTCAGGGAGATTAAAGCAATGAGGATTAAGTATAATTTCCTGTAGTTTTGCAGGATGACTGCAGAAAGGATGCCGATCTCTAGTTATTACTAGTTCTCTAAGCAAGTTGGGGTGCACACTGGGATATGTTACATGATAATTATAGAATTCATTCACCAGTGTTTGTTTGTTTGTTTGTTTTGTTTGTTTAATTGATTAATTTGGTCCTCAAGGCAACTCACAATCAAGGCTATTAGAAAGGTTTCAAGCAGAAGGCACAACAGATAAAACCATAAAAAGTAGCATGTCCAAAAAAAAGGCGGGATTACATTAAATGCTTGGGTAAATTGAATAGTTTTCACTGTTCCCATGAACGATTTTACCCATGCATTCTCCTTTAAGATTTGTAAATGCATCATACTTCAAAAGAAATTATTTTTTACCATTGTAATCTGATTGTGATTAATTTTTATTTACCTCCTACAGGACTTGATGGCAATTGGGCTATGCAATGTCACCAGTTCATTTTTTAAAAGTTTTGCTGTCAGTTGTGCTCTTTCTACAACTGTTATTCAGGAGAAGACAGGTGGAAAAACTCAGGTATGTTGGTTGATTGTTGAAACCCATCATTTCTTTTAGACCTCCATTAATAGGATGGGCAATCCAAAACATGTTTAACCAGAAACAAGCTCAACTGAGTTCAATAGAAGTCTGAGTAGCGTTATTTATGAGGGCTTATTTTTTCCTCTGAGGAATATGGAACTAAAATAGCTTCAGAGTCAACACGTATTGATTTTACATAAACCTATTTAAAATGGAGTGTGGATGTTGTTTATTTAATGAGAATAAATAATGGTGGAATAAAAATGTTCACCTAAAAGACAGCAAAGAAGAGACCAATCTGACTTGAGATGGAGTTTCACAATTGTAGTAACACCATCAAAAAGGTCCTATCGCTTGTTCTTGCCAGCTACACCTCTCTTGGCTACCTTATTTCCTATATCCTGTATAGTTTAAGACTTTATATGTAATAGTCATCAGCACCTGAATTAGTCCCAGAAGCAAATTGGTTAACTACTGTATGTGGAAGGTGAAATTGGCACATCATAATTTTGCTTTTTGAAACTTCTGCTATAGATCCAAGTCTCTATACGATTACATTCTTATCAAATTAATAAAAATACCTATCCATACAAACTGAATTGTCAAGGTTTTAACCTCCATCAAAGCCACCATTTTGAATGTGTTCTCAGTAAGATGGACTGTTGTACCTGATAAAAACTGATTTGATTTTTTTAAACCACTGAACTCAGCACTGGAGCCTCAGTACCAGAACACATTTCTAATACAGTATTTATTTTTAATTAGCTTGCAGCTCTCATTGGAGTTTCCTTAATGTTGGCAGTTGTGTTAAAGCTGGGAACCTACTTCCAGTACCTTCCTAATGTAAGTTAATGTGAAATGCTATTTCAGTAAACATTGATTCCACACCTTTGACATATTTCTATTGTATTCTATTATATAAAAGGCACATCTTTTGGCCATGTAAATGTTGGCACATTCAATGTGTCACGGTTTTGAGGCTGTAGAGAAGATGACTGTAGCAGATAGGGCAGAATCAAACAAACAAGACATGGTCTTTCAGGACCCTGGACAGAGCACCATGGAAGGCACTGGCTCCAACATTCACACACACACACACATATACGGGAGCAGATTGCTGAGGCCCTATGAAGTTGGCAGGGGCATCCTTACTGTTTACCCACCTCCATTATTAAAGGGCCTCTGTTGGCTGCTACAGCATGGGGAAGGTGTGAAATGCACTGAGACTGTCTTCTGAGTCTGTGGAGTCTGGCCAAGTCACATCTTCTGACCTTAAAGATCCTGGTGGGGAGAGGTGGCTCCTCTATGTTTTTCTGTGACCTCGCAAGTGGCTGAGAGACTGCAGAGCTACAGTGCTTCCTTGAATAGCTCTCTGGGTCTGTTTCTACCACATGTAGGGAGAAGCAACTCAAGGGATTGTTAGTTTCTCCTGGAATAGTACCATCTTTCCACCTTGGGCAGAACTAGGTTAGTGGAAATACCACCTCTGAAATTACCTGAAAGTGGTAGGAAAATTATAATATGTACACATAATGGTAGAGGCTTTAGAGTTATACAACATGATATATTGATATAGCATTGGCTTGCTAAACAAATAAAACTGTTTGTTCCTACAAAGCCATTTTAAATGAGCTGTGTATCCTTGGCAAAAGAATACCCAGTTATTGTTGTTTTTTCCACAGGCTGTTGTGGCTGCTATTGTACTGGTCAACATGTTCCCATTTCTTGAAAAATTTATGGATGTCCCTTTCTTGTGGAGGCAAGATAAATATGATTTTGTAAGTGTCATATGATCCACATGGGGTTGGAGAGGGGAATTAAATGGGGTATCACCTAATGTTACACCACGGCAGCAGAGGTGCAATGCCAGTGTAGATGTGCTGTCATACATATATTTGCATGTACTGCTGCTCAAGATGATTTGGGGATCCAGCTAGACAAACTGACAGAGAACTGTTGTCAGATCTCAACATCTCTTTAAAAACAAGAACACAGCCATGGGGTGTCCCAGTGTGGATCTGGACCATGGAACTGTGGGAGATGTAACTCTTCCCCCTTGTGGCATTTTCCTCAATGCAAACAAAGCTTAGAAGTGTATGTAAGTTTTTCCCAGTGGTGTTAAGTAACCACCTCCCAACCAGGAAGCTGTGGTTTAAGGGCTCCCTCCAAACCAGTACATATAAAACCCAAGATGTGATGCTGGTTTTGGACATCATGGGAAACTGTGGTTTAAAATGCTAGGATAGCTTGGTTGAAGCTGTGCACGGGAGGAGGGGTTAGGAGGGAGCACACAGGCACACTACTTGTTCTTGGATCAATTATTGTTTATTAAACCAAGACCATCATGACTCTGTAATGTTAACAGTGCATAGATCATTTCGAAGTTCTAGTAGTTTTGAGAACTGTACCCTAAATTCATTTTTTTTAAAAAAAAAAATTTATTAGTTTTCCAAATATGTAGTATAAACAAACAACAAAACAAAACAAAACATACACACAAATAAACATGTACAATTTCATAAACTCATTCTCCTTCACCTTGTTTCCCGGACTTCCCCATACCTCCCTTTTTCTGCATCCTTATTTTTCCCTTTTAACAGCAACCCTTCATTTCATTATTAATTCATCTTCATTATAGCTCCTTTAAATTTATGATATACAGCTGCAATTCTCTATTTTTTAACACCATAACATCTCAGCACTCTTCAATTTTACAACAGTTTTTAAGATATACTTTAAATTTCTTCCAATCTTCTTCCACTGTCTCTTTCCCCTGGTCACGGATTCTGCCGGTCATCTCAGCCATTCCCATGTAGTCAATCACCTTCGCTTGCCATTCTTCCAGAGTGGGTAGCTGCTGCGTCTTCCAATACTGAGAACTGTACCCTAAATTCAAACACAGAATCTTCATGGTTTAAATAACCAGTACTTCAGATGTTTTATTCTTTATATACAAAAAACGGCAGAGGGGTGTCTTGTCACATTGACACTGTACTTCGTTTTATCTTCAACTTTGTCCCTGCTAAGTAGCTTATATTGCCCCTATTTCATTTTTCCTTAAAGGGAATTTGGATCGTGACCTTTCTGTCTGTAATCTGTCTTGGTCTGGATATTGGCTTGGGAATTTCTATGGGATTTGCCTTCTTCATAATAAGTGTGCGGTCACACAGGTACTGTCTCCTATGGTAGTGTTGTATTATAGGGCTACAGGTGAGTGTGTGCGGAGAAAGGGAATTATATTGCTACCAGAGTATATTAGAAAAGTGTCTAGAATGATGAATTCTATGGGAAGGGGCCACTACTCAGGATACTGTTGTGATTACAAAGAATAGTACCTGGGTTGTGACATTCTCCATATATTGATGTCAGTTGTGACAAGCTAAAAGGATTATTGAAAAGAAAAGAGGAGGATCAAGAGTAGCCATTAGGGTGCCACCACAGAACCTTCCACTGCTACTTGCCAGGATGGTGAGGGTGCAGGGGCTCAGCAATACCAGGATGTGCTAATTGCTGAGTTGGCAGAGTCAATCCAGTGCTCCTGTTGGTGCACCTATGCTGGCCTGACAGTACCAACAGCCTGTGCCACACCATCCTGGTAAGCAGTAGTGATGCTGCTATTGGGAGGCTGGATCTGCAGTGGTGCTACACCAAAAGCTCTTGAGGAGGAGTGTATCCCATAAATTTAAAGTTAGCAAGTATATGAATTATATATAATTAGATATAATATATAACTATCATTTAGTTAATTAATTAAAAGTGCCTTCTCTAACTTCCTTAGCTCATTTGTGGCCTCACTCAAGGCATACAACAAATTCTAAAATTCAAGTTTACTGGCCATGAAATATTATAATGAGTAAAGAAGCAGAGGAGAAGTAAGCAGAGTGCAAAGTGAACTAAAACACAAAATTAGCATCCAGCTGGCCTTACCCTTGAGCAAGCCATGAAGCTCAAATAATATGCCTGGAATATGCATTTTTCTTCAGTGTATATTGTTCTTCAATGCAAAGACTAGTAAAATCCTCTCACCATATATTGGAGTAGCAGGGTGGTGGAAGAGAGAGCACAAGCAATTGGGGCTTGAGACAGCGTGAGCAAGGTCACATACGCTATAAACCTTTGGAGATGGGTGCTTTGGGCAATAATTGCTTTGCCCAAATTGGGGAAGATGCGTAACTTGAAAGGATCTCTTCTTGGGTTCCAGTCAGATAACTAAAGAGAAAACACTATCATGTATTTGTGGTGCTTGCAATGATTTTGAGCAATGATCTAAGGAAAACAGTGAGTGGGTGGAGTGGCAGGAGTTTCTGCAAGCCAGTTAGGAAAAAAATCCTCACTGTTTTCTTTGATCTGCGCATAGCAAGGGCAAAGATAGAAGGATGATAAAACACCTTCCCTACAGATATAACTGATGCTCATACAACTTGTGGTCTGGCACTGAGCCTGGAGTAACAATATTGTATGTATTCTTATGGAGAGACATACTGCACATTTGACTAAATGCTCTGTTTCCATGCTACAGCAAGATTAGGATCAGATTTTACCTGCTCTTTTCTTATCCACTCTCCATGGAGAGACATGAAAGTAAAAAAGATAATTCAAGGGGAGCTTGTGACCATTCCATTCTTTAAAACTACATTCAAAGTTGAATAGTTGTCTGTGTCTGTCATGGTTTCTTTCCTTGGCTAAAGGTTTGGCTCTGCTCAATTTTTAAGAAGGCAATCTAACTTAACATTTTGTTTCAGAATGAAGATGTTGACACTGGGTCAGATTCCAAACACCAATATTTATCGCAGTTTTTCTGACTATGCTGAGGTAAGGGTGGGAGGGAATAAATATTCTTTGCTGTAACCAGTCCCCTTCACTAGCACACTAGCAGCTGACGCATCAGGTTGAATTAATTCCAGGAATAGTGTTGTGTATAATTACCACCTTTATGACTCGTAATGAAGAGCCATACTTGAAAATACAGAGTTGCAGGAACCCCACAAGCATCTCTGAAAAATACACAGCATAGTGATCCTTCTGACAGGATTTAATTAACAACTATAGCTTGGTGACCCTGACATCAGCAATGAAAGCAGATTTGTAGCACAAATGTTGTGCTATGTACTCTGTTCAATCTCTGCATGGTCCAAATGTTGTTTTATATGTCTGGCTTCCTCTGGTATTAGATCATACCAAAAGTGCAAATTATTCTTCTTTGCAAGGTGCCAGTTTATTAGCAAATAATCTCAATAAAAATGTGAATTATGTAGCTAAATGATGTCATCCATGCACAGAAGAAAGGTATTGGTAGGACTGGGAAAAGTTTGCAGAGATAAAAATTAATCCATAGAGGAGGGAAACCCAAAAACAGTTCTGCTGTGATTCTGCATACTTAGTGGGCAATGAATGCTTGGGGCTACAGAGGAATGGTAAATTGTATTCTGAAAAAGAGCACATCAGGAGTCCTGAACAGGAGCTCTGCACACTACAACATTTTGTTGCAGGTTCCACTAAGAAAGACTTAAATTTTATTTCTCTTTTTAGGCTATAGAGATTCAGGGGGTGAAAATGTTCCAGTGCTGTGCCTCCATTTCAACTGCAAATATGAAACATTTCAAATCCTACATTTTACATAAGGTAAATGGTGCCCTCCAAATGATTATCAGATAAAGAGCCTTCCAAAATTGCATTTTTCTGAATTTTAAGATGCAGTTCTCCTGTAGTGTACACAGAAGTGCATATACTGGGGCAAACTGTGCATATAATACAGTACACATATTGGTGAAAATAATATTAAAAATGCATTCTATTAGAGAAGGTTTCTTTGCAAAACATGTCTATATCGGGCAAAGCTGCATACCAAAGTGTGTATTAGGAGAATCATACTAAATGCTTATGAATTTTAATGAGGACTTTGACAACAACAAATAATCACAAAGATGTGGGAATGTGGAGAACCAAATTTAAAATTGGAAAAAGGAGAAAATGAAATTGGCAGGTTTGCCCTCCCTACTCAGAACCTCTGCAAGTAGACAAAGCTGGCCATATCTGATAATCTATCCTTATTTCTATTTCAGATGGACCTGAAGGCTGTGCCACTTGATGAAAATGAAATGAGAGCTTTGATCTCAGTCAGTATGTCTAGCGTTAGGCAGAAAAAGGATTTAAATTGTACCTGTGTTTGTGAGCCACCTGAACCATTAGCCAGGGTGAGAGATTTCTTTGTTTGTTTGTTTTACATAGAACTCTCTTAGAATTCCCATACAGGTGTCACTTAGACAATTCCTTCCACCTTGCCTAATCAAAAGCCCACACCTGCCTGGTGTGTACATCTACACATCACTCAATGAAAAATACCTAAGCTCTGGTTATCTCTCGCTTTAACTACTGCAATGCGCTCTCTGTGGGGCTACCTTTGAAGATGACCCAGAAACTACAACAAATCCAGAATGTGGCAGCTAGACTGGTGACTGGGAGCAGCTGCCGAGACCACATAACACCGGTCTTGAAACACCTACATTGGCTCCCAGTACGTTTCCGAGCACAATTCAAAGTGTTGGTGTTGACCTTTAAAGCCCTAAACAGCCTCAGTCTAGTATATCTGAAGGAGCGTCTCCACCCCCATCATTCTACCCGGACACTGAGATCCAGCGCTGAGAGCCTTCTGGCGGATCCCTCACTGCGAAAAGCCAAGTTACAGGGAACCAGGCAAAGGGCCTTCTCGGTAGTGGCACCTGCCCTGTGGAACGTCCTCCCACCAGATGTCAAAGAGAACAACAAGTACCAGACTTTTAGAGGACATCTGAAGGCAGCCCTGTTTAGGGAAGCTTTTAATGTTTGATGCATTACTGTATTTTAATATTTTGTTGGAAGCCGCCCAGAGTGGCTGGGGAAGCCCAGCCAGATTGGCAGGGTATAAATAATGAATTATTATTACTATTATTACTACTACTATTATTATTAGCAGCTCCATTTACCAGTTTATATAAAGCATGGCATTCCTTAGGGCCAAACTAGATGTTCAGTGGAGGAATACGTGAAGAAGAGATGCCTATCCTACACTGGTGCTTACATGATTTTCTCGAAGTGTAATTGAGCTAATGGCCTCTAATGCAAGCAGACCTCTATTCCCTTGCTGTAGTGGTGGGAGCTGGTCCCACTGTGAGCCATTGAAAAGGCTTTTTGTTGTTGACGCTTCAGTGCAAGCAGAAAGCCTCTATGCTGCACGGGAATACTGTGCATGTAATAGGGAAGGGAAGAAAACTTCTTTCAATCCCTTCTTCTCCTTTAGGTCAACAGAGTGGGTTTTCCATTCCCATTATAAATGCACCAAGGTTTTTATTTTATGTATTTAGACATTTGAGCTTTGGTGGCTTTGCAGACCTACAGCACTCAAACCTATATGTCAGAATGAAAAATCCACATTAGTTTTTCCATCCAATACCTGGATCATAATTCCTGTTGAAAATCACCCCACAGTAAATGGGACAGGATCAGATGCTCAGCATTTCTCATCCAGTTCACTGTTTCTTTTTCTATTGACATTAAACTCAATGCAATGGTGTTTTTACAAAGATAGTTTCTAAAATTAATATGCTTTTGATAGCACCAAGTGGCATGATTAACAGTGCCTCCCTATGCATATCCACTCAGCAGCAAGGCTCAGTGAGTTCAGTGAAATTTGTGTGTGGGATTGCAGCCTAAATTGAGAAAGGCAGAATTCTTGGGTGTGTGACGGTTTTTCTTGCTTTAGCCAGACTATGCTTATATATCTTTGTAACACAACCATAGTTTTCTTAAACATATTTTAACAGGAGAAAGGAAAAATGCATAAATGAAGCTGAGTATTGTCCTAGCCTGTTCTAGAACCTCATCTCTCCTGCGTTTCTAGGTACCTTACACAGAGAAACTTCTAAGGCGGGTTCGTACAGCTAATGAGATATCATCTGCTTCTTCTTTGGCATTAATACGCTGGTCAAGAATTGAGAGCAGATACCCTTCTGAGATTCATTACATAGAAAGGGAAACAGGACAGGAGTATGTAAAGAGGAAAGAAGATCTCAACAGGTTATGGTTTTGCTCAGACCCCCCTGTCACGAGATCCACAACTCATTTGCACCCACTTGAATCAGAGACATCCACTTACATGATCCACACCATTATTTTAGACTTCAGTATGGTGCACTTTGTTGATCTACAAGCTTCCTATTTGTTACGAGAGGTAAGTTGCCTGAACTATTGCAGCTTAGTGGTTTTTATTTAGCTATAGTATTCATTTAAACTAGTGCTCTCTTGCACTCGTGCTCTTATTTTTAAAGGCCCTTTAAAAAATAATAATATGGGTGGTCATGAACACGTTATACGAGAGTAGAAGCAAGATCGGCTGCAAGCAATGTGGCAAAACTAGGTCTTGGGAGAAACTAGAATGATTCAGATAGCCAGTTTCCTACCCATAATGGGGGGGGGGATATTTTAATACAATAGCTTTTCAGTTACTTAAAGAAGGATTGATGTGCAATATGATCCTGCCACATGTTTAAGTCCCAAGACCACTTACATTCAGCAGGTGAGTTTTTCAGGCTTGCAGGAAATGTCTTGGTAGCCAAATATTTGATAAGTTTCTTAAGAATTGAATTATGTATAAATGCAATTACAAAAAAAAGATGATGGGGAAACTAGGAGCATAACTTGGGCTTCTAGATACAAACTAAATTGATGTTTGCCAAAGGTGTTAGAATGTCAGCCTGCCTGGATTAAGGATGGGAGGAAGGATTAAAGAACAAACCTCCCCCCCCCCAAACATTAAGAACCACACAGGGGTCAGATCAGATTAAGAACGTAACTGAGTCAGAAGAGGGGGAAAAAACTCCACAAAACAGAAAAAGCAAGTACAGTCATATTAGCATGAAGCATTGAAAATGAACGTCCTAAAGCTTAAGAATTGGAAACAACAAAAGGTAGTTGAGAGGGGTTGAAAGAAGTTACATCATCAAAGCAATAGTCATTTTACTGAAAAGATGACTCAGAAAAGAACAAATACCACTGTGGCAAATTGCCCAACAATATATGCATTTCACTAACATAGGTTTTCATATGGACTGTAAACACATTACTGCTCACCTAATGGGCTACAGATATGACCTTTCTGTTTTTCATGCCTTTCCACCATTTAGTACCCATTCATTCCTCCAGTTATTTGTATACCTGCCTTTCATTATTTGTGCACAGCCTTTCATTAAAAAAAATACCAAAAGCAAGGGGGGGGAGGGACCAAAACCATCTTATCAAATGATTCCTCTGATTACTAGGAAGTAGGGATGTTGGAAGGCATCGTTTTCCATTCTGCTCTGTATTCGTCACATACAGTACTGTGTTCATTCCGCTGCAGTGCTTCTTACTCTAAAAAAAACCTATACTATTTGTCTCTCTGTCTTCTGTAGCAAAATTACTTAACTTACATAATTTATGCATAATTTTTGCTGTCTATGTTATGCCACCCCATTGCAGAGGGAACACAATGACAAGCGGAGGAAGGAATGTAATCAATTCCATATTGTTTGCTGGGATGATTTCCATTCTGGATGTGGGACAAATAAGCAAACACTGGCAATTTCTGCTCCCACTCCTGTTTTTGTTGGAATTCTCCAACATCCCTACTGGGAAGGGAGCAGTTTGCATCCCCCATCAGGGCTCTGAATTAGGTGGAGAACTTTGAACTTCTCTGCCCAACCCTGCACCATTTCTGCTTTAAATTGTTGCCAGTATTGGTGGCATGCCAGGAAAATTTGCTTGGGATTCAGAATCAGGAACCAGAACCAGGCGTTAGTCACCCCTGATCTAGAGACTGAAAACATCACCCATTTTAATACATTGTTTCCCTTCTACAGCTGTGTCACACATTTCAGAATATTGGCATCACGCTCCTGATAGCTGCCTGTCATCGTGAGTATAGTTGCTGCACTTTTAAAATTAGCAATTTTGGATATTGTTTGTATGATTAATGCTGTTGTAAAGCCACATCTTTTAATCATCCTGTTTTGTGTGATTATTCTTTCTTTCTTTTTTAATCTTATAGCCACTGTAATAAGGACCTTTGAAAAGCATGACTTTTTTGACCAGTGTGTTACTAAAGCACGGTTCTTTCCAACCTTACATGACGCAGTACTCTATGCAGTGGAGCCAGAACTCTTGGAAGAGACGGTGCCAGTAGAACCTAGTATTATCCTGCCTGAGGAAGTGTTGGCTGAAGTAACTCTAAATGAGGAAAAGGTATAATAGTTGGTTGAGACCCGTGATCAATGTAATGACCTGACAAATGCTAATCCAGAAAAGAAGTCTGATCATTTCAACTAGGAGTTACATAAATGATTTGTTTCAGTGGCGTTTTTAGCAGTAAAAGATCTTTCCAGATGAATTATTAAGCCCAGTAGCATAGAACATTCTATCTGTTTCCTGCAATAGGGAATCAGTCCCAAATATTTTGCTGCTAGGAAAAATAAATACTCCCCCTTTCTCCTCTACTAACACCTAAATTGTGAGTACTATGTGAAATGCATGGGACGTGGGTGGCACTGTGGTCTAAACCACTGAGCCTAGGGATTGCCGATCAGAAGGTTGGCAGTTCGAGTCCCCGTGACGGGGTGAGCTCCCGTTGCTCGGTCCCTGCTCCTGCCAACCTAGCAGTTCGAAAGCACGTCAAGTGCAAGTAGGTAAATCAGTACCACTCTGGCGGGAAGGTAAACTGCGTTTCCGTGTGTTGCTCTGGTTCACCAGAAGTGACTTAGTCATGCTGGCCACATGACCCGGAAGCTGTACGCCGGCTCCCTCAGCCAGTAAAGTGAGATGAGCGCCACAACCCCAGAGTCGTTCACGACTGGACCTAACAGTCAGGGGTCCCTTTACCTTTACCTTTACCTTTATGTGAAATGCACAAGTGTCAGGGATCCCTGCTAACTAGTGTAATTTTTTGATGGGGGGGGGAATGCCCTGAGAGCAGCCTCCCGATGGTCTGTCACCCCAGGCACCTTTGGCCCAAGCTGAATCTGACACCAAAGTTTAACCAGGCTGGGAGTAATATGCCTGTGGCAATAACCAGCTGACTGTCAACCCTCCCTTCTCCTGTGCAGGTGGGTGTGGTTTGGCTAAAACAGCCTTATGGGCCAATTGGGGAGGCAGGGTGGGTCAAAAGTAGCCCACAGGCTTGGATTTCCTCACTCCTGCTTTAGATATAGTATCTTCTCCCTGGGACCTCACATTTAATTTTTCCGTGCATTTTGGAAGACCAGGGGGCTAACACATGGAGTCACATAATGTTCTGAAGCCTATAAATGCCAGCAGCTTTGTTTCCCATTGTCCCTGTGATCATGATGTTCAATATTAGTATGCTGCCCAAGGCTGGCCATATCATTCACCATCAGGTAAAATGAAGTGCTGGTGTCAGTTGATGTGTTGCAAAAATTTTGATAAAGGTACCAGTGTCCAATTCAATAGAGTCAAAGAATTGACAGACGCAGCAAATGGAGAAAAAGAAGGTGAGGTTTATTGCTGAGCAATAATTGACCCAGTGGAATCCTTTCCAAAAGACTGGGCCCAGAGCATTGTATATCTGGGGTTTTATACCTGAGTACAGCATCACAGATCATGACATAATCAAATACAATCGCGAACGCCAGCAAAAATAAGCTAATGAGCGCATTCAAGCCTGGCTCCTGACCGTACAAAGAGTTCTCCTCCCAACTTCTGCTTTTTCAGTCTGAACACCAGACCAACCTTTCCCCTAGATTCATCGGTGCAGAATGACCGCTCCCCGCTTAAAACGGGGGGCGCCCTTTGCGTGGACGCGTGCAGCCCCTAGATCTGGAGCGGCTCCAACAGCATAGGCTTGGCCTTGCCTTCCCTCAGGTGGGATACCTGGAGGTCTCCGCCTACCTCAGTCAGTTGTCCAATCCCACCTGGGGGAAGCGTTGCCAAGGAGACCAGGCCAGGTAGGGGAGGGATTACCTGAACACCAGACCAACCTTTCCCCTAGATTCATCGGTGCAGAATAGAAACTTAAGGCAAGGAGGAACTCTCCCCAATGACCATCTGTTCATTTAAGGACATCGTGGTTAGCACCTTCCTGTTTTGTGTACAGACTTAGTCTGGACAAGAGGGGGGAGATGTACCAGCATCTCAGATTTATAGCTTCCTCTTTTGTAGAGAGCAAGAAAGTACTGGGGCAGGGTTCATTCTGGAAACTTGCAATTTCAAGCAATTTTGCTGTTAAGCTAAGCAAAAGCTTTTATGATTCAATGGATTATAAAATCACTGTAAAACTCTGGTTGTGTGTGAATATATGTGAATATATTGATAACTGATAACTGATTACATGGATAACTGATTATATGAATAACATAAGGGTAAAATTCCTCCAGACCCTGCTTCAGATGCTGTGGGTGGAGAGAAGTTGTACAAGTGCAATGTGTGTGCAGGGGAAGATACAGTCCTATCACTCGGAAAGTAAGATTTAGCTGCCAGCACAACCAGACCATGTGCATGGAATGGGAATGAGAAGGTGTCATCTTATCCTTTGCCTTGGGCTGCAAAACATATTGGCCTGACCTTGCTGCTGCCAGTCAGCTGCCGCGGCCTGATGGCTCCTCCCTCCTGTGCACATGAAATACTCTTGGAAACACTTGGACTAACCGTTCTTGAAATAGCATGTTCACATCCAAATATGACTAAATGCATGGGCTAAATTTATTGAGTCAGGATTTCACTGCTAGTCCTGACCCCAATATCACCATGTCATTAGGCCCTATCTCTAATGTCTGCATATTCAGCCAAAAGGTGTCTATTTGTACAGTCCTGATGTTGCAGGACTTCTGAACATGTGGAACACCTGTGTACAGCTGAACATGCAGGGCCATTCCTTTGCAGGTGTCCCACTCAACGTGGGACCAATAGGGCATGTCAATATTGTGGGTTGGGCCACAGCGCATGGTTCCCCTCCCCATCTACATGTTTAGTTGACATGTAGCGGGAGCACCTAAATAGGGCTTCTGCCTTATAGGATAGTACACACTTTCCTGTTTCTCATATTCAAGCCCTACCCCCTCTTTCATGTTCTCTTCTCATTCTCCGTTCTAGACAGAGCAGCTCATAGTTCAGAATGTCACTTGTTGTGTTTTAACACAGTTTCTGATAGACCATAGCGAATCTCACAAGATCTGAACATCCCATATAAATACAGGGGAATGTTTTGCATAAACATCCTCAAGCCCAATCTAGAAGTTATATTCAGATGCTGCTGCACTCAACTTTCATCATCCTTGGTGATTGGCCATGCTGGTTGGGTTAATGAGAACTGGAGTCCAAAATCATTTGTAGCATGACCACTTCCCCACCCACTGTGGTTAGTTTACTGGTTTCCCCTTCTTCCATCACCCATTCTTGAGCCCTGCCTGGAAGGGGACATATTCAGGGCAGAAAATGCTTCTGGGCATCAAGCTAGCCTGAGAAGAATATCATAAAAGCAGCCTTTAGGAATCAAGCTGCCTGTTTACTCTGCATTGCCCAAAGAGAACCCAAGAGATCTGGACTAATATGCAGTTAGTAAGGCACAGATTAGCTGTTGTGTCAACAGGAGTTATTTCTAAGTAAGTGTGAAAAAGATGGTAGCTTTCAGAAATTCCCTCCTCTCTGGAGGTTGCCTGTGGTCTTTTAATAGGACAGACTGAGCTTCTTTATTTTAACTTCCTCAACTAAATTGCAAGTTTGTGGAGTTATGGCTTTCTGCAACTGTGCATGGGCATGGGGACTCCTACGAACATATAAGATGTAGTACCTTTTTGGCAACTAATTGGATGGACCAGCAACATTAACTGGGAATATAATATATATATAGGCATTGTGCATTTTTGTGTGTTTCAGGATAGGAGTCAACACTCAGGGAGGAGTCCTCATTCAGATAGGAGGAGCATGCAGTCCAATGGGAACAGAGAAACTACCTCAATCAAAAGTGCACAGAGCGAAACTTACATTGATGAGCCCATATCAGATCTTTTCCGCACTTATTCTCTCCAGAGTGATATAGAGGCACTCCCTCAGCGTGAAACATCTCCCATTGAGGAAGATGAAGATGATCAAGATTGGGATGGAAAATGGAAATATAACAGTGATGTCTAAATTATGAGATCTATTAGAATTAGCTACATTAAAAAATGGTGCATATGTGACATGATTCAGGTCTGTACTGCTCCTTTTTGAAATTCTGCATTTAAATTAATGTTAAAATAGCTAACCATTTTTCCCCTGACATTGCTGAAGGAAATGCTGTTGTATATACAGAGCAGATCAGAAACACATTGAGAAAGAGTGAGAGAAATGAAATGAACTATGACACTTAGAACCATTAATTAAATTGTTTAATTTCCAAAGCTTTTGTGCATTTTGCCATGTATTATTGTTGAGTGCCTTTTCACAAAAAAGACTCTCTACTTTTAGTCTCCGGAATGTCTAGAAAAGGAACTGTCTTGTAAGAAGCTGTGCTGCTGAGAAACCTTAACTAACCCTCCATTAGAGCCTATTTTGAACAACTGAATGAGCAAAACAGAAGCCATGAAAGACCCATTGGTGCCCAAATAACAGTACCATGTTTCTCCTCTGCTGGCAATAGTAGTGGATTCTAAGGGTGTGCACCAGATTCATTCAGACCAATCCCAAATTGAGCTGGGGTGCCTTAAGATTTAGGACTTGTCAAAGGTGAAACAGAATCTGTACGAGACCGCACAGCTTTGGCAATGCAGTGAAAATCTCTGGTTAGCGCAATGGTGGATCTGGAGTTCTTTTGAGAGACAGCCGTGTGATCTCTTCCAAGAGCATCCTGATAAAGGGGGTGGAGCTTGCTATGTCCTAATATATACCAAGAAGACAGATGCATCAGGAATTTAAAATGAGAGAAAAGGGAGAAGCATGAGTTGCTGTGGATAATGAGAAGCCTTTCACCTTTAGACTGAGATAGAAGTATAGTATGTAGGTGAAAGATTAGTGCTAAAAGCAGGAAGTGATTTCCATTATTGCTATCTATATTCAAATTTACACCAACTCAATAGCTCCCTTGTGCCCTTTTGCCTACTTCATGATGAGTACCAGGCAAAAACATAAGAAAAACAGCAGGGGGGAAATGAAACTGTTTCAGCTTGCTTACTTTGTGCATTGTTTGCAGTGATGTACTTCTAAATAAGCATTGCTGAAGTCGAGTATTTAGTGTCACTGGACCCATGCTGTGGAACACACTTCCAGCACAGATGCAGCAGGTATCCTCACTTTTAATTTGCATTTCTTGAAGACCTTTTATGCCAATAGTCCTTATGGAGCTTAAAAGTTTTATTGAGCAGCCCGCCATTTCAGTGATTGTTTTGTGTTGCATTTAAAGATTTTTACATTGTTGAACACTGCCTTGATGTTTTGTGAGAGGGTGGTGGTTGTTGTTGTTGGCTTCCATCTGTCTTGGGAGACTGGAGGAGTACGCCTTTGCAGGTGAGGTTAAGCTGTTAGAAAGCTGCAGCGCCTGCTGTGGCTGTAGAGGCCAATGTGGGAGAGACCTGTTTTGTTGCAGCTGGGACAGATGAAGGCATCCAGTTTTGCTGCTGCAGATGCACCTTGGGGTTTTTTTCTCTCTGTGCTTCTTCCAGTGGTCATTTCTCCTCTGCCTGTCTCCAGGCTCCGTGTTTGTCTGCAAGGGATTTCAGCATGTTCCTGATGGTTGTAAGTTGCCCACAACTCACTTCCATAACACAGCGTGCTCAACATACAGACCTGGTTGACTTTCATCTTGTTATTGGACATTAGGAATACCTTATAAATAAAAATCTATTGTATTTGAAGGTGAGAAGGTTAATGAACCCCTGATGTTGTAGGTGACGCCATTAGGTCCTGTAAGAGTTGGCATGGTGAGTTAGCAGCTGGGTCTGCCACAGGGTCCTTGTGTCTGTCTCTCTGTTACATAGCCTGTAGTTGCTGGCATGAAGTGGACTGAAGTAGCTGCCTCAGGCGGCAGAATCCCATGAGCCAGTACTCCCATGGACACCCAGCCCTGCTGTTGCCAGAGAAGCTGTGGTGGCTTCCGGTGAGATATTGCATGATCTCATAGAACTCTTGTGAGAACTCCCTAAGATCTCACCGGAAGCTGCTGCTGCACGCCCCCCCCCCCCATGAGATGGTGAGGCAGGGCTGAAGTGGAGGGGGGGGCGGCATCCTTACCGTTTTGCCTCAGGTGGCAAAACAGGCTAGGGTGCTACTGGTTGCCTGTGAGCAGCACTTTTTAAGTTGGGGGAGCTGTCTGTAAGCAAGTCAGGTCAGCCATTCAGAGTCTGTGTGAGGGATGTATCACCATCCAGATTAGGCTATGAGATGAGAGCCAGTGTGGTGTAGTGGTTAAGAGCAGTAGACTTGTAATCTGGTGAACCAGGTTCGCTTCCCCGCTCCTCCACATGCAGCTGCTTGGGCTAGTCATACTTCTCTGAAGTGTCTCAGCCTCACTCACCTCACAGAGTGTTTGTTGTGGGGGAGGAAGGAAAAGGAGATTGTTAGCCGCTTTGAGACTCCTTAGGGTAGTGATAAAGCGGGATATCAAATCCAAACTCCTCTTCTTCTATAAATCACAGGTGATACATTTGAGTGGTTTTAACTGTAAGTAACATATGCCGTGACAACACACCTGAGCTACATTGCCATTTTCTACTGATCATTGTGTAAGATTTGGTGTTTGGGGCTTTGGGAACACAGGTGTAAAGCTCCCTTCCTAGAGATGGGCTCCTGGGAAACAGAGCTCAGAGATGCCCCCTACAGGTTGACAGACTAGGGTGTTGCAGGAGGATCATCCCGCTTGGTGGGAACCTATTGTATGTCTTTTATTTTGAGAGGGGGGCTTATTCAAAAGGGTAAAATTGTAAAATAGCAGGGTCCACTGACAAAGGGTTCCTGACAAGTAATTCAGTTATAGAAGAGAGTAGGCAGGTTGCAAATTTGTCTTTCACCAATTTGGGTGCCCTCTATAATATTTTGTGGAGGGAGTAAGGGAGGAGTGTCCAAAGCATTAATCAGCAGGATCAATGAATAATGGTCACTTTCAACTCTGTTACTAGGCAACAAGTTATTATGGGCCAAGCTATTATGAAAAAACTTGGTCTCTCTCTTCAAGGTGCTTGATTCTTTTAAGATTCTAATGGATCACATTCAAGCAAACTGTGTGTAATGTATGGAAGTTCGCAAACATCTGTTAAAATGATGTAGGAATCTCCTTTTATTCTGGTTCAGTCAACAAAAATTCTCCATTCCTTTCACCAGTGGTTATAAACTGACATACAGTATGTACTTCCTTTTCTGAGTCAAGTCACTAAATTCCAACAACATGAATTACAACTGAAGGAAATCTATGGATGCTTCCAGACAACAACAAAAATATTTTTAAAGCCCTATGTGAGCTCTAATTCACTGTTTGAGCATTACCTATTTTGTATCCCATGGGAAGCCAGTTTGGAGGCTTCCAGATGTTGTGAACTTCAATTCCCCTCAGTCACAGTTAGCATGACTAATGGTGAGGGACGAGGCAAGCTGTAGGCCTCAACATTCAGATGCCACCAGGTTGGTTACCTGTTCTATGTGAAGGGGAAGCAGCTCTTTCAGTGGCACCTACCCATCCCATGCTGAATCTGGAGAAACTTGGTGAAACTCACAACCCTTTCTAAGACTCCCTGTGTAAGTGGGGTGAAAGCCTTAAGTTGTTCTCTGATGTAGGTGTGCACAGCTGAGAAAGCTTTTCGAACATCTGCAAAGTTTCTGTTTCACCAGGCTTATCAAGGCAAGAGGCAAAGATGATTGAAATCTTTTGTCAGTTTCAGTAATGATTTTTTTAAGGGTAGATGCCTCTGGAAATTGAGAGGGCCAGAAAGGTAGGAAACCAAAAACACATGCCATCAAGAACATCACCAACCACACCTCTGCTCTAACAATGCTAAATTTCAGTTCACACCTAAGAGGACTTTGCGGCAATTGAAAGGAAGTTGCTTATTATTATTATTTTTTTAAATCACAATAAATCAGCACATGCAAAATGCTGAATGACAACAGACAGAACACAGGAATGCAACAGTTTGGGATTAATGGGTCCAAATGTTTCCTTCCATTCACAAAAATAATAATAATTTGCAGGAAAAATCTCATTTTCATTGAATAGAACCACAGGATTCTTAGATCCATCCTAGTGTATGGATTCTCAGGGATAAAGGAATGTGACTGGTGTGAGTGCAAGCAAATACAGATAGTGTCAATGTGCTCTTGTTTCTCAGCATAAAAACTGCATCTTAAAACCACACACAGGTTAAGATCTATTATACCTGTTCTGGGTTGCATTTCATAATTGCCCTTGATGAACAAGTTCATGATAGGGTAGCTATTAGTAATATTTCTCTAGGAAATCCTAGAGTGCTGAGGTTATTTGCCTACAGAGAGATCCAAATCTGTTCTTCACCTCACCACAATCAATAAGTGACTTGAAATGGGAAATAAAGCCCAGACCTTTGGTGTGTTTCCCCTGAGAAGAGAACCAGTTCCTTCTGGGTTGAATAATGGATTGAATGCAAGACCAAAAAATAAAATACAGTATTGTACTTGGAGGATGGAGGTAACTCATGTTGATGGAATTCATATTGACAATTTTTTAAAATTACATTTTCTTTTAGGAATGAGAAGAGTGAAAATAGTGGTCCAAATTATAATCAGAGGTTCAAGAATTAGTGGGGTGTGTGGGTGTGGGTATGGGTGTAATCACAGTTCATCTTTTTTCTTCAGGATGATATTCCTCACAAGTTCAGTGATGTGAGGTTTTATTTCCTCAATAGTGACAGTAGAGTCCCAAGCCTTGACCGTTTTCCCATTTGGATCTACAAGGTATTTCCAGAAATTCCAGGTTGGCTCCTCACCAGTGGAATCTACATAGGAAGGGGAAATGACATATAATTTGATTATTATTCAGTTATAAAGAAAAAAGATACTAATGATGGATTTGATTGTCAAAATCAATGCAGAAGTTAAGCAAAACAAAAATGTAGGCTAAGCAAAATCTTTGGAAAAACTATGGGCACACCACACGTTTAAAGAACATCCAATCTACTTTCTTATTATTATTATGTATACTGCTCTATACCCGTAGGTCACAGGGCAGTTCACAACATAAAATTACTATATATGTAAAAAAACAAAATAAATACATAAAAATAAGAACAAAAACAAATCAAGAATCCCCTCTTCCACAAACACATTTAAAAGGGCATCGTGTCAATCAGCCAAAGGCATGGTTAAAGAGGAATGTCTTCACCTGGCAGATGATGGTATATGGTGCCAGCTGAACCTCCCTAGAGAGAGCATTCCACAAATGGGAAGCTGCTGCAGAAAAGGCCCTTTCTTGTGTTGCCACCCTCTGGACTTCTCGTGGAGGAGGCACATGAAGAAGGGCCCCAGAATATGATTTCAGGGTCCAGGTAGATTTATATGGTGAGAGGCGGTCCTTAAGGTATTGTGGTTGTGAGCCATTTAAGGCTTTCTAGGTCAAAACCAGCACTTTGAATTAGCCCTGGAAACTAATTGGCAGCCAGTGCAGTTGAGCCAAGATCAGTGTAATATGATCAAACTGTCTTGCCCCTGTGAGCATGTGATTTAAATCACATGGCTTCCAAAGCACATGATCCAACATCTTCAACAAACAATAGTTCCCAGGATTATTTGAGGGAAATCATGGATATGTATTAAATGTATGGTGTTGATCTGCTATAAGGGCTTATCCACCCTTCCTCTTGTATTGCTGCTTTCCCTCAGAGAAAACCTTGTGGGACACGATGCTGAGGTTTAGTATTTTTATCCTTAATGCCCAAAACTTTATTTTCATTGACTGCTTCTGTGAATAATCAGAAGCTGGAGCATGCAAACCCTTTCTCTGGGTACAAGCTATCAGCCTTCTTCTAGGGAATCTCTGGATTTCTCTCATCCTGCTTTCTGTTGAGCTGAAGAGATCGCTTAGCAATTCTTACAAGGGCTCCTTTCAGTCATTCTGCTTCTGGTAGAAGGCTAGAGGCAGGATGAGTTTCCTCATCTTATAATTCTCATTTTTGTAGGGGCGCTTTCAGACTGTCGCTATTCTTGGGTGAGATTCAGTCACATACCAGCCAATTCAGGTTGCTCAGTTATAGTTGATTGGGAAGTCCTGTGCAATAAATCCACTTCCCCAAATGATTGAACTTTTTTGCAATAAGGAAAGTGATGGGGAAAGTGTGGGATGCACTGTTGTCTAACCTCCCTGTAAATAAATCCGGATAAATGTTCAATAAACAGTTGTTCATCCAGACACAGTCCAGGAGGCATAAGCTCCAACTGTTGCTTACATTCAAAAGACTGCACAAACGATATCTGGAAAAGTTTAAGTGGAACCTGTAGAGGAGGCACACATCTGTGATTTGAATGTTTTTGTACTACTTTGATTTGAAGGACAAGGCAACTAAACCTCAACTGAATTCCTGTCATTCCTATTGAGTTCCTGGGAGATAGAAAAAAAGAGGATAGAACATAATCACAACAGATGCTCTAGAAAGAGATTGCCTTTTCACCATTTAACCTTGACTGAATTGAAGAACTAGCCCTTACACCTTGCTGAATATTGCCAACCTCCCTGCCGCTCTCCCCCCCCCCATCTGAAACAGCACCGCTTGCTATCATAAATCATCTATGACTTTGGGGGCAAAACAGATTCAATGTCAGCCGCTTTAGAATGCCTGCTGTACTCACCAATTAAATATTTGAAGGCTGGATTTGCCCCGGTGCCCTTGACTGCTATCTTGCTGAACATGGGAAAGGTGACTCCATATGTTTTCCTGGCAAAACTCTCAATTTCTTTGTTGGTGCCTGGTTCTTGAAGTCCAAATTGATTACAAGGGAATGCCAGCACGTTAAAATGATATGAGCCAAGTTCTCTCTGCAGCTGTTGAAGGGCTTTGTAGTGGCTGTCTGTATAGCCACACTCACTTGCAACATTGACAACTAAGGCTACCTAAAGGGGAAATAACAATGAGAAGGAGACTTATTATTTCCTTCATTTATTAGATAGATAGCTAGACAGATGATAGATATAGATCCCTGCATTTTAAAAAACCCAGGGCAATTCATAGCACTATAAATACATCCTCACTAAAATTCAAACATTAAAATACAGCAACCAATATTTGCAACAATGCCCACAGTAAGCCAGACCTAGCTACAGACTTGGCATTAATGACCAGATAATGCCCAGATAAACAAATGAACCTTCAGCAGGCATTGAAAAAACTCGTCCCTGTTGCTGCTTGCTTTGCTTCAGAGGGGAGGTGATTCCATAAGCTGGGTGCCACAATAGATAAGGCCCTCTCTCAGATTGCTGCAATATTGATTTCAGCAGGAGAGCCTCTGCAGATCTCAGTGAACAGGTAGGTCCTTCACATAACCTGGCCTTGGCCTCCATGAATTTCTTTAATCCTCTTTTAAAGCCATCTGAGTTGGTGGCTATGGCAACCTCTTGTAGGAACGAATTTCATAGTCTGATTACGTACTGCATAAAGAAGTGCTTTTTGTTTGTCCTACAACATTCAGCTTCATTCAGTGTCCACAAGTTATAGTGTTAAGAGAGAGGAAGATAAACCTTTGTTGATCCACGTTCTCCACGTTGTGCATAATTTTATAAATATCTGCCATGCCACTTCTTGTTTTCCTTTTTTTAAACTAAAAACTCCAAAATGCTGCAAGCTTTCTTCACAGGGGACTCACTCTATTCCCTTGGTATTTTGATTGTCCTTTTCTGAACCTTTTCAAACTCTATGATATCCTTTTTAAGGTGAGGTGGCCAAAACTGTACACAGTATTCCAAACACAGTTGCACCATAGAACAGCATAGAACAGCATTACGATACCAGCAGTTTATTTTTAATTTCTTTCCTAACGATCCCCAGCAGAGAATTAGCCTTTTTCACAGCTACCACACACTGGGTCAACATCTTCACTGAGCTATCTACAACAACCCCAGAGAGGTCACTCAGTACAGTGGTACCTTAGGTTAAGTACTTAATTCGTTCCAGAGGTCCGTACTTAACCTGAAACTGTTCTTAACCTGAGGTACCACTTTAGCTAATGGGGCCTCCTGCTGCTGCCACGCCGCCGGAGCACGATTTCTGGTCTCATCCTGAAGCAAAGTTCTTAACCTGAAGCACTATTTCTGGATTAGCGGAGTCTGTAACCTGAAGCGTATGTAACCCGAGGTACCACTGTAATGATTTTGTTGACTGCCTGATACATATTGTTATACTACGGCAACAACTAGAACCCCAGCCCTATCTGCAGAAAATTCCCTATAGAGCATTCAGAAATTCCATGGATTCCATACATCTCTGAGGGCAGATCATTCTGATGGGTCCCTACCCCTGTAGGAGAATACACCTGCCCTGGGACCAAACCTCACCAGGAAATGGTCTGAGAAGGATAACGGAATTTCTCCAGCCCTCCTTTTCCAGACCTATCTCTCTCATCTCCTGGGGCAAGAGTTTTATTGAAGACATGCCCTGCTCTATGCATCAGGTCAATGACAAATAGAGACAGTTTCATGGTTGTTATGGAGTCCCAAGCAGGCCCACTTAAGGCGGCCTTGGCACAAATGTATGAGTTAATTAGCAGTAATGTAGTTGCACATTTTGAAGTGGAGGTCATCATGACACAGATTTCCCTCTATTTTCAATGTTCTGAAGAGGAAGGCATTAGCAGACTTAGGAATTGCCACATTTTCCCGAAGTATAAAATATATTTAGGGGGGGGGAGGAAAAAAACTAAAATAGACCAAAAAGTATCCTCAGTGGACATGGAATGATGGCTGACTATTGGCATGGGAGAACAGAAAACTGGATGAAGATTCATGAACTGGACTGACTGGAGTACTCAGCAGTGCAAATTCTTGTTGCAGGACTCATGTGTATGCGTGTGCGCACACATGTGTGCAAGTAACATTCTTGTGTGTGTGTGTGTCTCTCTCACACACACTTATTTTCTCGTTCAGGCGACCAATGTGACATTGATAAATGTACTATTTACATTGAGATGTAGTTTCATCTCTGAAGCTAAGCAAATCTAGATCTGAACAACAGCTGAATTGAGAACTTCCTGAGAGTCCCATGTATGCAGATATCAGGTTCTTGGAGAGATCCACCTAGATACTTCGCTCCTTCATTGCCCCCCTGGTCCGTCCCCCCCGGTGCCACCCTTGTTGTGACCCATGACTTCTTTGCAATAACTGCTTTTTACTCTCAGTGTGGTGCAATTTATTTATCTGCATGATATCAGGCCTCTTTGTTCTCTTTTAAAACTCACAAAAAATTCCAGAGCTTCTGTCTTTTCAGCCTAGCTTTGCTATCCCCAGACTGGGAGGATCTCTTCACAAAGGGCAGAGGGAGGGGACCTGTGGCCCTGCACATGTTGGACTCCAATTCCCGTAAGCCTAATCAATAGAGTCAATGGCTGGAGATGATGGGAGGAGACATCCATAGGGCTACAGGTTCCACATCCATCACAGAGTTAGTTAGGAATAGCCTGCCAATATGAAGCCTTCTATAGTTGTGGCTACTGGCATTTATATCCCAACTTTCCTCCAAGGACAGGCATAGGCAAACTCCGGCCCTCCAGATGTTTGGGACTACAATTCCCATCACCCCAGCTGACAGGACCAGTGGTCAGGAATGATGGGAATTGTAGTCCCAAAAATTTGGAGGGTCGGAGTTTGCCTATGCCTGTCCACGGAGCACAAGGTAGCGTACTACATGGTTTTCTTCTTCCATGTTTTATCCTCATAACAACTCTGTGAGGTAGGCTGAGAGACTGTGATTGGCCCTGTGAGCTTCATGGGAGAGTGGGTATTTGAACCCTGGTCTACCAAGGGCCTAGTCCAACACTCAAACCACTACACCACACTGGCTCTAGGCTTGTCAGTGAAGTCTGTGTCCAGATGGCCACAATATATCATAACTTTCTAGGATCTGGGTACGGCCGACTACAATGCTGGACTAGGAGCATGAGAATGTTTTGTCTGGACATGCTCGTAAGGCCAGTGTGAACGCATAAACACTCTTGAGCCAGAAACAGGACTGACTTTGTCAACACTGCATTTAAAAAACCCTCCCAGGTATTTTCAATAGTTTTTCTATAACAAGCTCTCTTGTGCATTTGCTTCCTTGGGTTGTGGGGGGGGGGGATAAGGGATATATATATAGTTTCTGAACACATTGTGGGCAGTGTCTGAATGCAAGTGTGGGAGTGAGTTTTGCAGAAGTGCAATGTCCTATGCAAAGCACTCTGTTTCTAGATGATACATTTCCAGTTCAAATTAGTAGTGTCTTTGTTATGCTGAACAATAATAATAATAATAATAATAATAATAATAATAATTTATTATTTATACCCCGCCCATCTGGCTGGGCCTCCCCAGTCACTCTGGGCGGCTTCCAAAAGAATATTAAAATACTATAATACATCAAACATTAAAAGCTTCCCGAAACAGGGCTGCCTTCAGATGTCTTCTAAAAGCCTGGTAGTTGTTGTTCTCTTTGACATCTGGTGGGAGGGTGTTCCACAGGGAAGGCGCCACTACCGAGAAGGCCCTCTGCCTGGTTCCCTGTAACTTGGCTTCTTGCAGTGAGGGAACCGCCAGAAGGCCCTCAGTGCTGGACCTCAGTGTCCGGGTAGAACGATGGGGGTGGAGTATATCCTTCAGATATACTGGACCAAGGCCGTTTAGGGCTTTAAAGGTCAGCACCAACACTTTGAATTGTGCTGTATATACAATGTACTGTATATACATCCAGGGCAGAAAGGGAAATCCCAAGTTTTTCTCTGTGAGATGGATTGATTCTGTCCCTTAGAGCTCAGAGTCTCAGAGCCCTAGGAGTTAGAGGGAGTTTCCAGTGGGATCATTCTTTGCAGTATCCATAATTTCCAGCATTAGTTTGTCCATTTAATTGAAAATTACCCATTTAGAGGAAAATCGGGTAATTAAAAAAAAACCTGTCACCAACAATCAATTTGTGATACCTCAGCAACCAAGATGCAAGATTAAATCTGTCTGGAAGCATCCTAAATTCAGGACATAATGGACCTTTTCTAGCTTCTGACAGCAGGTAAGAGCAAAAGCAATTATCTGCTGATATACAATATCAAAATTATCAAAAACTTACAATATCAAAATTACTGTGAATCAAGTTTGCCATCTAGTGTCCACTGCAAGCACCTCACACTTTGCTCTTTCAGAAATGTCCAAGGGTGTGTGGGTGAAGAAAATAGGGAGCAATAGCTATGTGAGGATGAAACTAAAGCAATTAATTTGTATGTAGTACCAGTTGTTTATACCCAGAAAAGGGAAGAATTATACCTAAATACAATAGTTCAAGTTGTCAGAACATTGATGACCATATGTTCTGACCTCCTAAACTGTTTCAGCATAGACAGAGGTGGGAAAGAGGGAAGTCTGGAGGAAATGATTTAGCTAACCTAGTCTAGTGCTCTTCAGATGTTTTGGACCACAATTCCTATCATCCCTAGCCAACAGAGCCTGACTGTGGTTGATAGGAGTTGTTCAAACCATCTGGAGGGCACCAGGTTGGCAAAGGCTGAACTACAGCCTGCAGTCTTGGAGAGTGTTAGAACAGGTTTTTTTTTAAAAAAAGTTAAGTATTGCAGAAAAAGATAGGCTTTTCAGCTTCCATTGCAGTTTTTTTTTTAATATATATATATATATGCAAATATACATTACCGCTTATGTTAAGCAGCACATTTCAAGAATATGAATTTAAGGGTTGAATCTAACGTGTATCATACTCAGAGTAAGGTAAAGGTAAAGGTACCCCTGCCCGTACGGGCCAGTCTTGACAGACTCTAGGGTTGTGCGCCCATCTCACTCAAGAGGCTGGGGGCCAGCGCTGTCCGGAGACACTTCCGGGTCACGTGGCCAGCGTGACATCGCTGCTCTGGCGAGCCAGAGCCGCACACGGAAACGCCGTTTACCTTCCCGCTAGTAAGCGGTCCCTATTTATCTACTTGCACCCGGAGGTGCTTTCGAACTGCTAGGTTGGCAGGCGCTGGGACCGAACAACGGGAGCGCACCCCACCGCGGGGATTCGAAACCACCGACCTTTCGATCGGCAAGCCCTAGGCGCTGAGGCTTTTACCCACAGCGCCACCCGCGTCCCACAGCGCCACCCGCGTCCCATACTCAGAGTAGCCCCACCTAAATTAATGGGCATGACTAACTTAGCGTCATTAATATCAGCGGGTTTATTCTGAGTAGAACCTAGTTCAGACCTTTAGAAAAAGAACATATATAGCATCTTTAATATCTGTAACAGATAAATTAAGTGCCTCTTCTTCAAGTAACCCTCCGCATCACATAACACCAATGTTAAAATTTAAAAGAGCAGCGGTAGTTTGACAGGGTTATAAAATGTCAAATTAGATGTTTCCTGTTGAATCCCTCTGTAGCGCTGGGCCTCTCCCGCCCACCGTTTTTTCTCCCACCCAGTTAAACAAAATGAAGTTTTCTTAAGAAGGAAACGAACATATTGCAATGACAATCTGTACATATTTTTAAAAGAGAGGAGGGAAACCCGCATGGATCCCGATGATGGTGCTTCAACAAGTGGCATCGCCAGAAAATAACGTAGGCGTTGCGATTCCGAGTGAATGAAAGGCGTCTTGCCTGCCTGCCACGTATACGCGGAATACTCTGTGGGAAAGGAACATCTCATGCAAGAACAAGCAGAAAAGGTTGCAGCAAACTTCTGGTGCTTTAATAGAGATTATAGCAGAGCCGTGGGCGCCAATCCGCAGGCAACGCGCCCCAAACGAGACCGTTCCCAAACCGGTCAGGCCAGTTAAAAGATGCATTATCTCCCCCCGCACCGTCCGTCATGCAGGCATGCCGATGTGACTCGCTGGTTAGCTGGGGCAGCAGCAGCAGCAGAGGCAGCTCTCCTTGCAAACTTACCGAGCCTCTGTATTTGTCCAGGGAAACTAGCTTGCCCCTGATGTTCACCACTTTATAGGAGTAAAAACTGTCCTCTTTCGGTTCGGTGGCGGAAAATGCTAAGAAGAGCAACGCTCCTATGACGATCAGCATGGCTAAGGGGATAAGAAAAACTTTGGGGAAGGAGGGATCCGCTTTGTGCTCTACACTGCCCTCAGGGTCTAACATACTGCACACAAGCCCGGCACTGACGTCCTCCACCATCGCAAAGCACAGCCGGAAAGAAGCGTCGCCTGCTGCAAAAAGAAATTGCAACAGTTTTTTTCTATTTCCGTGTAAAAACAATCCACATCTTCTCTCTCTCTCTCTCCCTCTTCCCCCCCCCCAAGGGAATCTCCTAAACAGTTTATTAGTGATCTCGCCTATCAAATGCCTGATTTGAGATTTGCAGTTCACGCTTTTCGTTTTGCAAAGGGCTCTAAGGCTAATAGTCTCTTTTCAGACTAAAAAAAAGCCCCAAAACTCCAGGCTAGTAATCTTTCTGGCCTTGTATACAAGACTGATACAATCTCTACACATAAATCCAATAAACCAAAGATCCATTTTAAGTGAACCATAAAATACCAAGTTAGAGCAAACAGCTGTCATCATTATCCAGTTTGAGATATATATTTGAAAGTTGCTTTGACCATGACTGATGATTGGGGTGACCAGGAAGCACAGGTGTCTCTTGCTTCCGCCCCATGAGGCCACTACATCCAGCAGTGAAGAAGCCCTTTAGCACCACCGAGGGCATGGGGGTAGCCAGGGGGTGCAGGGAGGGGCAGATGCCTCCCTAAATCAAGTAAATAAGTAAAAATACCTAACTAACTGATCAACTGCATCACAGATAACTTGGTTCTGCCCCCCCCCCAAACATAAAGCCTGCCACCTCCTAAAATAAATCCTGGCTATGGCCATGACTGAGGGTATTGCTTTTCTGCATTTAGCAGGAGGTAAAAATAAAATGGAAATTTTCCTATCCACTTCCCTTTTTGTAAAAAGGCTGATTCCAAGAGGAAGAGGGTTTGTTATGCAAGAGCTTCAAATCAGCTTAAATTGTGTAACCTGAACCTGCCAGTAAGTGATTGAATCTCAGCAAGCAACAGTCTGGAAACAGCATTTGATCCTTGGACAGAAGCTGTCCTTGTATCTAGGGTCACTGGGATTTCCTGTTCTATCCACATTCATGTTCCACCTACATCTAAAACCAGTCTTAGTTTTATAAATGAAGCAGGCAGAATAAATATGTGTATGCAGGATTTATTTATTGCAATATTGATATGACTTTTATCTGTATTTTTTCAACCCCTAAAGCAGTTTGCAATAATAAAATATAATATACGATATATTTTGGAAAGTTCACCATGCATTTGGACACCTCTTTTAAGATATTGTAACCAAATTCTGCAGCATGGTTCCTGAGATCAAGAAGTAAGTTTTAATCTATGTTTGGACACAACTGAGCACCATTGGAATAAAGATAGCAGACTGAACCTTTCAAAATAACTGATTTTAATCACTGGTTTTAACAACTGCTTTCAAAACTGCAGTGATTTTTTGCGGGGTGGAGGTTAGAATTCCCTGTTTCTTTCTTGTTTTCTTTAGAAATAAAATGAAAGAGTGAGAATGTAGTGGAGTCACTGACCATGATAAATCCAACAGTGGTGCAGTGAGAGAATGTTGGACTTGAAGGAGAGCTGAACTCACATTTATTTACAGTGGTACCTCTGGTTGTGAACGGGATCCATTCCGGAGGCCCGTTTGCAACATGAAAAGAGCGCAACCCGCAGCGGCACATCTGCACACACGTGGATCGTGATTCGCCGCTTCTGCGCATGCGCGTGATGTCATTTTGCGCTTCTGCGCATGTGCAAGCGGCGAAACCCGGAAGTAACCCTTTCTGGTACTTCCAGGTTGCCGCAGGACGTAACCTGAAAGAACGTAACATGAAGCGGACATAACATGAGGTATGACTGTATAACATTTTTATCCCCGTCTTCCAAGGAACTAGTAACAGCATGAAAGCTGTGCCCCAGTTTATCCTCACAATAATTCTGAAAGGTAGGTAAAACTGAGAATGTGAGTGGGTCAGTGAGCTTCATCATAGCCAAGTGAAGATTTGGACCAGGATCTTCCTGCTCCAAGTCCAACATTCAAGTTAAGGGTGCTGGAAATTTCATCTCTGTGAGGAGTAAACTACAGTTCCCAGAATTCTTTTTTTTTGGGGGGGGGACTATGTGTTGTAGATGTGTATTGTATATGCTTTAAATGAATGCTGTGGGTGTGACTTGTGCCAGCTCTCAAATTCTTATTTAGCTGTTAAATTCCTTGGGTGGTCTTGGACAAGTCACTAACTCTCAGCCTAATCCAGGCATGGCCAAACTTGGTCCTCCTGCTGTTTTGGGACTACAACTCCCATCATCCCTAGCTAACAAGACCAGTGGTCAGGGATTATGGGAATTGTAGTCCCAAAACATCTGGAGGGCCAAGTTTGGCCATGCCTGCCCTAGTCTATCTAACCAGGCTATTGAGAGGAGAGTAACCCCCTATAGGCAACCAATCTCCATGGAGGAAGGACAAGAAGAGTATGCATGCATGTGTATGAAAGGAGATAAGATTTGTTAGCCTTTAGTGTGCATCTTGGCCTGATCGCACTGAAAGTGTCCTGAAAAATCCTGGAGACTGCTGGTGTAGAGTGGAGACTGACAATGAAAGAAGGACAGGTGCTACAATTCTGTGCTCGCTTGCTGGAGACTAAGTGTCACTGAATTCAGCAGTTGGGAAACAATGGAGGAGTGCACCTTTGGGGGTGAAGTCAAACTGTGGGAAGGTTACAGTGCCTGTTGTGGCTGTGGAGAGAGAGACATGTTTTGTGGCAGCTGGGGCAGATGAAGGCATCTGGCTGTGTGGCTGCAGATGCACCATGGTGTTTCTTCTCTCTGTGCTCCTCCAGCATTCATGTCATGTTTGCAGACATCTTTGTCATGCAGAGCTGATCTGCCAGTGGGCCTGGTGCCTGAAGCCAACTCCCTGTAGAGCACATCCTTGGAAATCCTGCCATCTTCCATTCTGTGGACATGACCAAGCCAGCATAGACATACTCAGGAGTGCAATTCTGTCCTGCAGTGCGATGCCTCCAATCTTCCTGGCATCGCTCCTGGTGGTTGTAAGTTGCTCACTTCCAGAAAGCAGCATGCTCAACATGCAGGCCTGGTAGACCTTCATATTGGTATTGGACATTAGCATCACATTCTCCCATACCCTGTTGGAGAGGCAAGTCATTGCTGTAGCTGTCTTGCCAATACCCTTGTCCAGCATCAGTTGAAAGGTTGCTGATAATGGTGGAACCTAGGTAGGCAAAATCTCCTCAAATGTGTGGTCACCAGAGCTGATATATGGAGTGCTGGTGATGTTTACAAATCCAGAACAGGCTCCCTAAGATGGTTGGATGGCGTCTTGTATGCCTCCTTCCTGCAACTCCTGCAGCTATGCTGGTGTCAATGTATTGCTTTGTTTTCCTTTGGACCACATCAGTGAGGCCAGGAGCTGGGTCTTAGCATCTGAGCAGCCCAGGATCTCCATACACACATTAATTCAAAAGAAATACATGTACGATGAGGCTGTTACAAACATTACAGCCCTTGTGAGAAGCACTGGAGCTTGGAAACAGTTTGGGTGGCCTTCATGATTGGATGCACCATATGAAATGACTCTCAGCATGCTGATCCCACAAATCCCTCATCTATCGCATGATGCTACATTGCCCTCTCGACCCACGATTTTAAAAAACTAAGCAGATAGTTGGCAATGGAGGTGGACTGCGCTTAATCCCTTTTCGGAATCTGCTTGTGAGCGTCATCATGAGGATCTGTTCCACAGCTACGTATTTGCTTGCTTGCTTGCTTTCTACGCCTCAAGTTTTTAAGGTCCGTTTTTTGTGTCAAGGAGGCAAAGCAAAAGTCCTGGCGCGAGAAAATGTTCGGATGATTAGGATGCGCGGTTTCCTTTCAGCAAAATCTCACAGTCAGCGCAGAACCGACTTTAACCGGCTTAATTTTATTTACTTCATATGTTTGCGTGGAGGGGACTGTCAGCCGTGACTTCAGCTGGCCGAGCCCGGCCCACGGTGCAAATAAAACCCTGCAGGCAGCAACTCTCGGCCCTGAGGCGGCGCGCAGCTCGGAGGGCTGCCCGGCCAAAGAGTTTCAGCCTCCACCGTGAAGACACCTTTCTCCTCCTTCTTTTTGAGGCCTCAAAGGAGAAGGGAGTTCAGCTTTTCCTCGGGGAAGGGAGTGGGCTACCGGGATTGTAGTTACAGTGGATAGGTGGGAGGGTGGGGGCAGAACAGCAACGGCTGCCGCTGCCTTGAGGAAGGTTGGCAGAAAGCAGCCTCCGCCGCCTCCCTCCCTCACACCGCCCCGCCCCCCCCCCGCCGCGCGCGAGCCTCCTTTCCCCTCCCCCACAATGCAGTGCGCGCCGCGGCTGACATGGCGGCCGGCCCAGATTGAGGCGCTCGCGTCGGGGCCTCCCAACTGCCGGAGCAGGACATGGAGGGGGACGCGGCCGGCACATCCCTGGGCTGACAGCCAGGTACTTGAGTCCCCCGAGAAAGAGGGAGAGAGAGGGCGGCGGCGGCGGCAGACGGAAGCGGGTCGTCCCCCCCCCCGCGTCGCTCTTTCGCCCTCCTCCCGTGCCCGCTCCTGGCTTCTGCCCTCCTGGGGGTGGGGGGAGGGGGGCTCTCTGCACCAAGGCCCTTCGCTGGCCTCCGCCACGGTCTCCCCTCCCCGGCACGCACTTTAAAAAGTCTAATCGGAGCGCCTCTTTTTGGGTGGGTGGGGGTCTGCCAGGCGCCCTCCTAGCTAGGGTCCTGGTTGGGACCCCACTTCCCCATTCCCTGCTTTTGTTTCTCTCCTGTCTGGGTGGGAAGAATAGAAAGTTTAAGGAAAAGAGGCCCTTGGATGAGGACTGTGCCCAGAGCGAGTTGTTTTGGTGTGTGTTTTTGTGTGGGCGGGGGGGGGTGTTGATGTGGTTGGTTAATTCGGTAATTTAGAGGGGGACACACCAAAAAAGTTGATCCTGCACGTGTACTTCTGAGGGCAAAGAGGGGGTGTTTGTTCCGTGAGAGCACTGTAAAGACGTTGGAGCGTAGCCTATAGAGGCATGTTTTTGGGAAATCGAGCTGTTTTTCTGACAGCGGGCTTAGCTGTTAACACAACTTGATGGGTTTCCTGCGAGGA